CAATTCTAAGCCACAAAAGCGTAACCCTTTAGGGTCGCTGTTGTGATATTCACGAAGGTGCCTGGAAATGGGAGTTTCAACTGAATATTTACTGGATCTAATGTGTTCTTGTATGCGTTTCTTGAAGGGACGGAATGTTTTACCCACATATATTTTTTGTTGCATTCGCACGTAAGTAAATACACAATCCCTGATGTATTACAGTTGAAGAAAGAGGTTACAGTAAAAGCCTCTTTCTCCAAGCTGTCTTTGACTTTTTTGGAATCTTTTTGCATAAATTTGCATGAGATACATCTCCCGCATTTATAGGTACCAGTCAGGCGGGTCTGGAGCCATGTTGTAGGGGATGGAGTTTCAATTTTAAAAAGACTTGGAGCTAAGAGGTCTCGTAAGTTTTTACCTCTCCTGGCTGTGATGGAGACATTAGGAGCCAATACTTCTTTATGGTGCTGGTCGTTGGTTAGCAGTGGCCAGAAGCGTCTAAGGGAACTTTTAATATTTTCCCATCCTGCATCATAGGTTGCAATTAGACGTATATTATTCTTGGGGGTCTTTAATGATTTATGGGTGTCCCCACTCAGTAGCATGTTACGATCTGAGTCGAGTGCTCTCTGGTATGCACGTTTCAGGCACCTATTAGGGTAGCCTTTGGCTTTAAAATGACCTCTTAGTTCTTTTGCCTTGATCTTGAATTTGTCAATAGTGCTGCAGTTACGTCGGACCCTGAGATATTGGCCCGTAGGAATACCCATTTTGAGCGGTATCGGATGGAAACTGTCTCATCTCAAAAGATTATTAGTTGCCGAGGGTTTGCGATAGAGGGTGGTGTGTATTTTATTTTCCGTTGTTATGGAGATCGTTAGATCCAAAAAGTTCAGGCTTTTGCCCCCAAATTCATTCATGAATCTGAGGTTTTCATCATTAATATTAAGGATACAGACCAACTCATTGAACTCCTGTAGATCCCCTAGCCACACTATAAACACGTCATCGATGTAACAATGCCAAAGAAAAATCAGGGGGAGATATTGAGAGATTTCTGAGTGTTGAAATAAATGTTCCTCCCACCAACCAAGGTGGAGGTTGGCATATGATGGGGCACAAGCTGTCCCCATCGCAGTTCCCCTGATTTGATGATAGTATTTGTTTTTGAATGTAAAATAGTTGTGTGAGGATGTATTCAAGAAGCTCCAAACAAAAGGTAGTATGTGCTGTAGCTGCCGGGCCTCGTTGTTCCAAGAAATAGCGTATATGGCGAATGCCATTAGAGTGGGGAATAGATGAATATAAGGCTTCAATATCTAAGCTACATAGTTTAGCCGAAGAGGGTACTTCCAGGTTTGCTAGGAGGGCAAGGGTCTGTTTTGTATCCTGAAGATATGAAGGAAGTTTTTCAACGAATGGTCGTAAGATTTGATCAATATATATACTGCCATTCTGTGTCAGATTTTCGATGCCCGAAACAATAGGGCGGCCAGGGGGTAAGGTCATACTTTTGTGTACTTTGGGCAGGGTACATAGAACTATGTTTAAAAACTTGATAACATTTTGTTACAAATTAGCAATATATTTTTAATACTGCTATTTGATCTGTACTTGCAAGCAGCCCATCATTTTTTGAACTGTGGGGCTGACTTCTATACAGATGAATTGAGGTATCTGGGTATCACCATATATAAGAGGAATCCTTTTTTGATTTTATTTCTCTTTACTTAGAATATGCACTTTTGATTCCAGTCTACCTCACTGTTAGTAGTCAGCAGTTTTCCCGCTCGATTTCTTTACCATTTAATTAACGGGTTTATAGCTTGTCACAAACTCCAGGGAATTACACCCTATCTATTTGGTGTTATCCCCATAATAGGAGTTTGATCACACTTCGTGCAGATAATTCCTGCTCATTAAGGAGCTCCCTGAAATGTGTTACATCACAGATACTTCAGTATGACATGCTGCTTTGAACACACAAGCGCCTATTTACCTATTGGCTTATAATATCGCCATAGAGTGATTCATATCTGCCTGGCTGCCTCCTTTTTGTACCATTACAATCTCACGAACTATGGGCCATCCCCCCATCCCGGACCCCATGTATTTTATCTAATCTCATTTTTCAATAAAGTATTTTTTATTTTATTCACCTTTGTTAACCAGGGGATGTTATATACCCTCTTAGTGGGCATACCCTTAGTTGAGTGTATTGTGAGAGCTAGACGTTGGTTCTTCTCTCCATACACCCTTATCTTTGGGTACTTTTCTATTAGTGTTTCTGTTGGGTTATCCCCTTCTATGTTGCCCATTTAGTCCTTCTTTGACTCCAGGAGTGGATTGTCTCCAGTCCTGCAGTCACTGTCCTTTCTTATTATCAAGGTAAACCTTGGGTTGATGGAGGATGGGTATATCATTGCGGGGTAAGGGGGATTTCAGAGTTGGAGGCATCAAACAACCAAAGCCTGACTAAGGGCCTCATGGCAGACTTTTTAGACTGGTCTGTGGGTGTTGTGGTGATTCATTAGTAAAATCTGGTATTTTTAATTACATGACACTGAGGTTCATACTTTGTTGGTTCAATGCTTCAAAATAACATTGGAAGTAAAATAGAAACATAGAATGTGACGGCAGATAAGAACCATTCGGCCCATCTAGTCTGCCCAATTTTCTAAATACTTTCATTGGTCCCTGGCCTTATCTTATAGCAGGGGCGTACCTAGAGCATTTGGCACTCGGGGCGGATCCTGGGCTTGGCACCCCCCCTTAGTACGCCACTGTCTTATAGTTAGGATAGCTTTAAGCTTTATGCTTAAACTCCCTCACTGTGTTAAAAATAACAAGCTTCATCTTAGACTCCTGTTGATTTTCTACCTCTGTTGTCCGTTCATGAAGAAACCGTGATCTCGGTCACAAAGAGCACAGATCTCTTACGATTTCTCTCTTTTTCCATTAAAAACAATAACTAGTATTATATACCTTTTCTCCCAGTGAGAGAGATGTTATTACTACTGATTTTAAAAACCTGAGAAGGATGAAGGACTGTGACCCACCTGGGATTTGAACCTGTGACATTGTTTAACAAGCTTTATAGTCAGGGAATTTACCAACTGAGCTACCTCACACAGACAAAAAAATGAAGGCGTGAAATAAAACTCCTTGAATGTATACTCTTGAACAATCGGCGTCCTTCAAAAGATCTTCCAAGCAACAACCCATAGAAAATGCCTTACAGGCCATAGCAGCCCATAGCAGTTTGAACGTGGAAGTATCGAATCCATAATCCATCTCACCCAGTGTGCAAAGGTGACCTAAGTCACCGGTGTAACGGATCACCTGGAACCCCGACTGGGTACCTCCGTTGAAGGATGCTCCTAGTGCTTCCTGAGGACTCCAAGCACTCCAGCCGACACCATAACCACTGTAGATTCCTCCAGAGAGCAAGACAGGAACAAGCTCTTACAAGAGCTTAGTAGTGATATAGCAAGGGAGTATGACTAGCATAGCAATCCCTTGTAGCAGATTCCCCCAGTAACGAGACGACACTTCGTTTTGAGGTCAAGCAGAACTGACTGTACTGGCACATCCAGCCTCTTTTATTCACAATCCACAAACATAGTACTGCCCACAGGGTTTTGAATTACAACCAATCAATCCTTACAATACACACACACTCCCACACAAAATCCTCCCCTCTGGGAGGCAGAAAAATACAGTATCATAAAACATATCACAGGGACCCCAAAACATGCATAAAACCCCATCCTTGGAACCGGGGGATCTGGGTGAATCACAAATCCAAAATTCACCCAGATCCGTTCAGTAGTTTGGAAGATACAGTATAATGCAGATTCCACAGAACATATGCAGGCTAAATGAAAAACAATGGCTGTATAATGTGTCCCCTGCTGTATAGTCCAAAACCACTGCACGATGTCTTTGTGCACCAAATACTGGGGAAATGGCACAGTGTAGAAAGTCCAAACAGTGTCTGTGAGCTAAAATGGCCGCCATCCATTGTTCTCACCATGTGCTTCATCCATTGTTCTCACCATGTGCCTCTGATACATGAAATGGTGGCCACCCAGTAACTCCACAGTATGTCCCCAGATGGTTCTTAAAGGGCAGGATAATAAAATACAATATGCCCAAATCATGTCTTTAAAGGGCAGTACATCCCATGGGCCATAGTCACATGGCAGGAGGCTGGCAATCAGTCTTCTCCAATGCCCAGTGGCGAGGTCGGTTTCGCCACAACCGGAGAGTGGCCTCTTCACTTTTGTGCACTCAAACACTCAGAACATGTATTCCAATCATGTTTGTAGGATCGTCTCGATCCCAGTGTCCACGCACTTATCGACTCGGGGACATCAGAAACGAACCAGTGTCCATGGAAGTTAGTGTCCATGCTAAGAGATGGAGGTGTTCTTGAAGAAGTAAGGGATGTGAAATCCTGTCAGAATCTAGTAGAATGTTTGGAAACTAAGTTATCTCAGGATGTCAATGGCCATCTCCAGGAATGTCGAGAACCACGGTTAAGATGTCCAAAATGGAGTAATAAGGACAAGTGAGATGGCGTCTCAGAGTACTTGAGATCAGAGAGAAAGGCGGGAAAGCATAGTGACATGACCAGCCATTGTTGGAGAAAAGCATTTGCTGCAAGAGTCTCTGGGTCCAGTCTCCAACTGTAGAAAAGTGGGAGTTGAAAATTCCCCCAAAAAAGAGGTCTATGTTCAGAGGCCCCCAAATTGACATCAGTTGTAGAAAGACCTTGCAATCCAAACATAAATTGCTGTACTCTTTAGGTATCTAGAATTCTAATCCGCAATGGTGTTGATCAATTCTGGTATGCACTCTGCTTGGACAGACACATTGTAATCCAGGAGGAGCTGCTGGAAATGTTTTGCCAGGCAACAAAGGGGATTTTCTCTGTATGTGCAGCATTTCATAGTGAGAATGTATCACATTAGACCATGATGTCTTCTAACCAATGCCTTCTTTCACAGGACATCATGCCATCTGTGCCTCCAAGCTCTGATTCTACCTCCTGCCCCAGTATGACAGAGACTCATGTGGCTAATGGCAACGTGGAGGTTGATCTTGGCACTGATCGGAAATGGATTCGGCCAGATTTGCCAAGCAAGTGCACATGGGCTCTGGGAAAACCACAGGCAGACTCCCCACATCATCATGTAGAACTGTGAGTATGCAAAATTGGCTATTCTGTGATGTGTGACTTGGAAAAGACTAAAATCTTTTACCCCTTGTAGGAAACACAACCCCCGAATCCTGCCAAGCATCCTGGACAAAATCGGAGACACCCCACTCGTTCGAATAAACAATATTGGAAAGATACATGGGCTGAAGTGTGAGCTGTGTGAGTACATGCCAGTCACTTGCTGTCACTCTCCTGGTTTTACCCTGCTGTTCTCTGCCCAGCCTGTAGTGCAAGCCGCAGAAATATAAACACAGCATCACAGGTACAGGTTCAACTGCACGCTATCCCATCATCACACCATTGCAACGCGGTGAGCCTGACGTTATCCCCGCCGCAACGCGGTGAGGCTGGCATTATCCCCGCCAGGGGCGCGCCTAGCTCTGTCCCGCCAGGGGCGTGCCTAGCTCTGTCTCGCCCCCCCCCCCCAGCCAGGGCCGCGCCTATTTCTGTCTCGCCCCCTCACGGTAAAGGCATTTTGAAAATACCTACAGTTTTATTTCTAAGTTTGCTGGGCTTTGCAGAAAATTTCATAACCAAGCCTTCTTTTGCCCTCCCTTATTTCTGCATTACCATTGTTCATATTGGGTTGCATTAATACCCTCATGTGTTTCTTTCCATCTCCCCCTAGTGGCAAAGTGTGAGTTCTTCAATGCGGGGGGCAGCGTCAAGGATCGGATCAGTCTGCGGATGGTGCAAGATGCCGAAAGGGACGGGATCCTCAAACCAGGAGATACAATAATTGAACCAACATCTGGAAACACTGGTGAGGGGTTAAAGCTTATACATGACATTGCAATGTATTATTTATTTAACGAGAATATATTCCATAGCATTATAGGACAGTTAAACAAAGCTTATTGTGACAGTAAGGGAAGGCAATAAAGCACATAGAGATTATCCACATTCTGTATGTTAACTAAACCCATAGAAAGAGGAGATTGGCGGGGGATACAGTCTGTATGTAACTAAACCTATAGAAAGAGGGAGGAAAGACCTTGGCGGGGGATACAGTCTGTATGTAACTAAACCCATAGAAAGAGGAGATTGGCGGGGGATACAGTCTGTATGTAACTAAACCTATAGAAAGATGAGATTGTCGGGGGATACAGTCTGTATGTAACTAAACCTATAGAAAGAGGGAGGAGAGAGATTGGTGGGGGATACAGTCTGTATGTAACTAAACCTATAGAAAGAGGGAGGAGAGAGATTGGCGGGGGGTACAGTCTGTATGTAACTAAACCTATAGAAAGAGGGAGGAGAGAGATTGGCAGGGGATACAGTCTGTGTGTAACTAAACCTATAGAAAGAGGGAGGAGAGAGATTGGTGGGGGATACAGTCTGTATGTAACTAAACCTATAGAAAGAGGGAGGAGAGAGATTGGTGGGGGATACAGTCTGTGTGTAACTAAACCTATAGAAAGAGGGAGGAGAGAGATTGCTGGGGGATACAGCCTGTATGTAACTAAACCTATAGAAAGTATGTAACTAAACCTATAGAAAGTACAGGTAAAGGTGAGATTTACTTACATGAACCTGTCCCTAGCAGACATGGCCATCTTGACCCGGCAGGTCCTCTTCAGAGCCGACGTGACTGCTGTACTCTTGTACGTGTGTTTTTTACAGCATGAGGTCTATGGAGGATACCGCGAGATCCTACATACACTGCTAATATCCTGCAGCTGGTCGATATTCAGAATCCGCTCTGAGAAAGTCAGGAGGAGGAGAAATACACAGACACTTTGTCTTTCTATATCTCTTGACTGAATTGGAATTTGAGTGAAATTCCAACCCAGTCACAGTGAGTATTTCATAAGTGTCTATCATTCTGAAATACTCATTATTTATGGGGTTCTGTGCAGTTTCCCTCCACATAATCAAATCTCACAGCAGTGAGTGAGCATGTGTTTGCCAATGAGAGCTAATTTCTAGTTTTGGGGGTAGGTTGTTGAACATTTTGTAGGAGAGTTTCCTGAAGGACACCGGAAGCCTTCGTAAGGTTGCTGTTGTGCAGTTATGAGCTTTTTATTGATCGCAACCTGAATTCCACAGGTATCGGACTGGCTCTGGCTGCCGCAGTGAAGGGATACCGCTGTATTATTGTCATGCCGGAGAAGATGAGTATGGAAAAGGTAATGAGAGTCTCTATGCATGTAAAAATAGAGGGGGAACTGTAATTACATTTTGGGCAATGGAGAAATGGATCACTCCGTACCTGTGTGGGTGGTGAATCCTATCTAGGTGGTTTTTAATTTTTAAATGGTGAAAGTCGATGAACAGCATCAACAGTGCTTTGTATATATATTTTTCAAGTACTTCATTAAAGAGCAACAAACATATGAGAGAATTTGTTTAGACCCTTCACAGGTGTAACACAAACAACTCTGCAATTCTATGCCATTACTGCTTCATCCACTAGATCAGGGGTAGGCAACCTTTTAGCAGCACTGTGCCGAAATAAGATTGTGATGTTGTCGTCTTTTTTTTTTTTTGTTAAATAGAGGTGTGTATGTTACCGTATTCTGCTTGTTATTTATCCTGCAGTTGCTTTGTATTGTTGTATTTGTGCGTATATGAGCTATTATATTGTATATGTTCATTAGTAGTTTGTGGTATTGTGTATGATACCTATGAATGTGGCCTGTGTATTGGGGATGCTTGTGGAATGTGTGTATGTGAGGGGCTGTTTGGGGATTTGCATGTGTGGTGGTTGTGTGCATGTATGTGGATTGTTGGTGGTGGTACGTTTGTGTGGACTGTCTGAATTATTTGTGTAAGGGGGAAAGTTATTCTGCATTTCTGTGTATATCTAGTAGTATGGGTGGCTTCCCTGGGTTCCAGTGGGGACCAGGCTGGCCATATACATGTCAAGGGCAGGTGTTGCGATAGCTGTCGAGGGCTGCTCTACTCCAGTGTGGATTTCCATTCACAAGTGCTGAGATCACTACCTCTACCTCTAAGTGCTGCAATGCATAAATTGAGGATTGTCCTTCACCACCTTTTCGTATTTGCAGATATCTGAAGCCTGTTTGGCTCTAGGAGGCTTGAGTGCCGTGCATGGCACACGTGTCATAGTTTGCCTACTCCGGCCCTAGATGGTGGTATGTGATCATGTTTAGTAGGATTGTCCTTGTTTTCGCCCCTCTATCCTCAAGCCTCACATTTTATGTAATGTTATAGTTTTAATAACCATTAATTAAAGGAGACCTCCTTGATCTCTACAAAACCCCATCTTGCTCTGTCAGTCATTTAAAACACGATATGGTTTTTGTTTTAACAATTTAGTAAGTCTACCCCAAAGAGAACCTGCATGTTTTTGCGTGGTATGGATAAAAGTTTGCAATACAGTGTGCCTTTGCAAGCCCCCCCCTCTTTCCACAGGAAAGACTTTTAATTTGTGCCATGGAATATTCCAATCGGAGGCTTCTCATTGAGATCCTCGGAGCTGGACCTTCGATCCCGCGTGCACACGCAATGCTGACTTTCCTGTGTCTCCCTTAGGGGGGAGATGCAGGCATGCGGTAACTCTGTGGAGCTAATGGATGAGGATGGAAACTTGCCTGGCTGTCTGACGGTTAGTGTTTGAGTGACAGTCAGGAGGTGTCTCTGCCAATTGATCACTGTAGTCAGTATCATATATATCTCGATCTCTCTCCCCTCAGGGGTTAAATGTATTTCCTTAATTCATTTTAAAATTATATATTTAGCTGGGGTGGGTGGAAGTTAGTGGGGAATTGGCGAATTTGGTGTTAGGGCTTAACGATAAAAAAAAGTTTTTTGAAAAAAGTTTTAAAGTGTTTTAATAACATTGTAAAAAAAAAATCCCACCCCCTTTTACCCAGGCCTAAGAAAAATTAACCCCTTCCTTGCCAGTTGATCACTGCTTACAGTGATCAAAATACAGATCACAGTATTCTACTGTGATCTGAATTTTATTTTTAACCCTCTAAGGGGTTCAATTTATTTAATTAATTTCAATATTTTCAAATTATATATTTTGCTAGCTGGGGTGGGTGGGAGTTATGGGAAATTGGGGAGTTTACTGTGTGCGGCTTACTGCTAGTTAGGGATTAACGGTTAAAAAAAAAAGGGTTATAAAAATGTTAAAAGTGAATCTTAAAAAATATCAAAGTTTTTTTAAAAAGTAAAAAAATTCCCATTACCACTACACCTGGAACAAACTAGTGAAAAAATTATCCCAGGGTGTATTCTTTAATAAATAGTATGTGTTTGTGGGGAAGTTTCATTAACCAACCGTCTAAATTACTCCGAATTGCAACATGGACACAGCGTAAAACTTCAAAGTTAGAAAAAAAACTGTCTGTGTCTCAAATGTGCCCCTTCAACATCCACATATACCTGGCAAAGGTACATACGGGGGTTTTGCTGTACTCAGACAACATAGCTGAGGAACATATGTAGTATTATAGTATTACCCAGTCGTAGCACACATAAGATTTGCAAAATATACTGCGCAAACTCACTTTGTGTGTCAAAAAGGCCGAAAAAGTGCTTATTAGCACTACACTTGGTACAAGCTAGCAGAAAAATGATCCCACGCTAAGGTTCAAAATATGCCTTTTGAAATACCCTGGGATTTCTTCTTTAAGCAATAGTATTCCTTTATGGTGTAGTTCAAGTGCTCCAAAGTGGGACACGGAAAATGCACACTTAAAAACCTGAACTTGTCACGTCTCTTTTACAACACTGTAACTTCACAAAATAGTGTCTAAGTTCATGCTTGCCGATATGCTGGAGATGTAACAAGAGTTGGCTCTTTTGTTCAAAGTTAGTGGGAGTGCGATATAGTGATGGAACTTTGGATGAAGGTTTTTGATATAGTAGAGAACTTGGTAAACAAGCCTATTCGTAAGGCTCCGGAGAATACTATTTTGCATTTGAATATTAAAATATTACAATGCAAAGAAGTATATATATATTCACCCATTTAAAGGTAGCAGTCAAAATAATCATAGCACGAAACTGCAAAGTCTCCACACCCTTTTCTCTAGATACTTTGATAACACAAGTTAAATCTCAATTAATGATTGAAGCACAATTATATAAGTCACAGGGAATGGATACAGGGCGTAAAAATGTTGGCGAGTATTGGCTCAAAACTATGTCAGGCAGTCAGACCTTGAGCTGGAAAACAGGAAGACGGTGTTTATGCATGTATGTGCGCATTTGTGTGTATGGGTATGTACGTGTGTGTGTGTGTGTTTCATATTGTCTTTCCTTTGGCTTTTCTACTATGTGGTAGGAGATCCTCCAAACCCCTCTTTGTCGGTGTGTAATTATGTCTCTACTGTATTGTGAAAGTTTGATAGAAGTGCATGTATTTGCCCTAAGTTTGTACGTATTTAAGATCTACAAAGAAAAATATATAATAACCAGAGAAGCTACAATTTCTGGGGAAATTGTGTGAAGTGTTCTTGCCTCCACCTGTAGTCTACAACTGGAGTGGGCGGAGTAACTGTTATCATTTACATAGCACATTTAATTGCAACGTTGTTGCACAGTTACATTAAACCATACATTTATAAAAACATTAGCAGGTGTTCAAAAGGCCCTGTCTATGACATCACTTGCTGCTGCAGCTTGACACAGGTCAGAGTATTTTGGCGGTTGCCATCTTCAAACGGTCGTATCTTAAAAACTATAACTCCTACAGTGAAGAGCTTTATATTGTGAGAATCACAAGACCCAGACCTACATTTTGATGCATAGTATGTCTCTGAAGTATTAAAATGAAGGCACAGTCGCAGTTTAGAAATTGCACTTCAAATTTGAGCTTTGTAGAGTGAAGTTTCAAAGAATGTCAATGGACGGCGTTAGTTGCAAACAAATGATTATATTGTGAAAACTATCAGGACTATGGCTTAGCCGTTGACATGTTTAGTGGCAGCAGGGATAGCTGAACGTTTTGATATAAGATTTGTGTAGGTGGGCCTGAAAATAAGGGAGTGGTGGCAGTTTAGAAATCATGTCCTGATTTTTCAGCTTTTGCCAGCTCCCACTCTAGTTCTGAACATTTTGCCATTCATTCCTCTCGGACCAATTTCGCCACAAGAACGACGATATTCCGTGAACCATTCGGCGAAACGTTCCAGAAAGTAATAGCAATCCGATCGGGAACAATCTGCACATTTTGGTAAATTTTTGTCTATGTAGTGTAAAAACTGTGGGAGGAGTTAGGGTGGCAAATTTGGCTATAATAAGAATAAAGGTAAAATAGACTGGTCATTATACAACAAAAAGTATAAATTCACCTGTGTGCAGATAGAAAAACACACTTAATGGGTATTAAGTGAAAAAACACATAAATTACCCTTAATTAACTGTATTGTAGATGGAAGGATTCCTCTTATATCCTCAAGACAATAATAACAAAATGGCAATCTACAATACAAAAGTAATAAAGACGGACATAGCGCAATACTGTTGCAAAATAGGAATTATAGATATAAATGATTGCACTCACAAAAACAATTTGATTGAAGGCATATCAGATATAATGATGTATAAACTTCAGGACTTGTGGAACATCGGTATCATGCATAGGAGGAAAAAATATAAATAATAGTGCAGAGTATCCAAGTAAACAATGACACACTTTATTAACAAATACACTTACAAAATAGAAGTGTCAAGTAGGCACATCAAGCTCAGATGAAGAAAAAAACGAATCCCAGTATCAGGGTCCAGTGGAGCAGGAAAGCCAAATAAAAAATGAAATAAAATCAATGATAAATGAATAAAAAATACTCTAAGCAATAAAGGACATAAGCCCTACGCGTTTCGTTCAATAATGAACTTCCTCAGGGACATCTGACATAATACTGTCCATATGCATGCATAAAATAACCCAAACTTCTCCCTTTAAAATCCGTCCGGCTATTCCTTTGACTATTCTCAGACGCTAGTCTGGCCATTCTAAGGTCCGGTAACCGTCTTTCTGTGGGTTTCACGCTGTGTGAAGGGGTCACTGTTGTGACATTGGTCACTGTCATGACATTACACTAGGGCCATGGACCCTGCAGGTGTTAACCCTCTCGGGCCGGTACCTGATGACCGGTTTGAAGAACTGGACCATCGCATGGACCAGTTCGCTATTGCGGTACAAACCTTGCTAGCTCGTACTGCCCATCTCCAACCGGAGGAGCAAACCCGAGTACTCAGACCTCAGGAACAACCCATGGAAATGGGTACTCCTAATCATGCTACCTCCCCTCTCCGTTACGGGGGTGATCCTAAAGGTTGCCGAGGTTTTTTGAACCAAGTTAGTATTTATTTTGAGCTTCATCCGAGAGCATACCCTACAGATAGGGCAAAGATAGGTTACATCATCACTTTATTGGTTGATAGGGCATTGACTTGGGCGAATCCTCTATGGGAGAACGATAACCCGATAGTGTTTAACTATGTAGAATTTGTCACAGCTTTTAGGAGGGCTTTTGATCCTCCAGGGAGGAGAACTAATGCTGCCAAGACCTTGCTACGTATGAGACAGGGTTCTCGTTCTCTTGTTGATTACGCTCTAGAATTCCGTACCCATGCGTCCGAAGTTAGATGGAATGAACAAGCGTTTATTGACGTATTCATGAACGGGCTTTCAGATAAACTCCTAGATGAAGTTGCCACTAGAGACCTACCCAATGTGCCAGAGGAACTGATCACATACCTTTCCCACATTGATGAGCGTCTCCGACACAGACAGAATACTAGAGACAGACCTCGACGGGTGCCAGAACGCCTAGCATTAACCTAACCTTCATCCGAGACAACAGCAGTCGCTCCTCCAGAACCTATGCAACTGGGAGTTATGCGTTTGTCTGAGGATGAAAGACAATACCGTTGTAGGGAGGGACTATGCCTATATAGTGGCCGAAAGGGACATTCTCGTTCAACCTGTCCTAACCGGCCGGAAAACTCCAGCACCTAAGCCCTCAAGGAGGACAGGCCTTGGGTGTAATGTGTATGTCCTCCTTTAATGATAAAAAAGATCATAGGCTTCTTCTACCTATTGTCATTGAATGGGAAAAGAAAAGAGTGCCAACCATTGCCTTAATAGACTCTGGGGCGGCCGAAAATTTTATTGATCATAAATGTGGTCAGGAACATGCTCTCCCATTTCAAAACAGATCAACACCCTTGGCCGTTGAGGCCATAGATGGTAGACCATTATCAATCCCGTTTATCACACAAGAGACTCTTCCAGTGGTGTTGTCCGTAGGTTCCCTGCATAAGGAGGTTATAATCCTGCAACAGGTCACTTCTCCCATCTTCCCGGTTATTCTTGGCTTTCCTTGGCTCTCTAAACATAACCCTTCTATAGATTGTGAGAAAAAAGAAATTGTAAAATGGAGTGAGACTTGCCGCAGAAAATGTATTACCCCTATTAAACACGTAGGTCTACTTAATGTACCTACTATGGAACCTTTAACCACTCAGATACCCAGACAATATTGGGATTTGAAAGCAGTTTTTGAACCATGAGAGGCAGAAAAATTACCTCCACACCGGCCCTATGACTGTCCCATTGACTTATTACCCGGCACTATGCCCCCTAGAGGCACAGTTTATCCTCTCTCGGTAGCCGAGAATAAGGTACTAGAAGAATATATCACGGAAAACTTAAGAAAGGGGTTTATCACTAAATCTTCCTCCCCTGCTGGTGCTGGTTTTTTTTTTTGTTTCCAAGAAGGAAGGGGACATAAGGCCCTGTATTGATTATCAGGGTTTAAACAAAATAACTCTATGTAACACCTATCCTATTCCTTTAATCACAGAACTTTTCGATAGATTAAAAGGGGCGACTTATTTTTACGAAACTGGATCTGAGGGGAGCATACAATCTAGTCAGGATTAAAAAGGGGCACGAATGGAAGACTGCTTTTAATACTCGCTATGGTCACTACGAGTACAGGGTCATTCCATTCGGGTTATGTAATGCCCCAGCAGTCTTTCAAGACTTCATTAATGATATTTTAAGGGAATATTTGCAGATGTTTGTTATCGTCTACTTAGACGATATTCTAATCTACTCCAAGAATATTAAAGACCACCATACTCACGTTAGGTTGGTTCTTTCTAAACTCTTAGAAAATGGACTTTACTGTAAGTTGGAGAAATGTCAATTTGATAAGGACACTGTGCATTTTTTGGGCTATATAATTTCAGGGTCTGGATTTCAAATGGATAAGAAAAAACTAGAAGCTATCCTTAATTGGCCCCTGCCCGTTGGACTCAAAGCTATCTGGGATTTGCCAATTATTATAGAAAATGTATTAAGGGTTTCTCCTCTATCACTGCACCTATCACTGCCATGACCAAAAAAGGGCAAAATTCTCTGGAATGGAATCTCGAGGCCAAGGAAGCTTTTGAGAGACTTAAATTGGCTTTTTCTTCTGCACTGGTGTTGAGGCATCCCAATCCCTCTCGTCCGTTTATATTAGAGGTGGATGCATCTGAAACCGGTATTGGAGCGGTGCTGTCTCAACGTCCATCTGATGATCAACCATTGCATCCCTGTGGATTTTTTTTCTAAGAAATTAACTGAGACAGAAAAGAGATATGACATTGGGGACAGGAAATTATTGGCTATTATCTCTGCTCTCAAGGAGTGGCGCCATCTGTTAGAAGGGTCTACCATTCCCATCACCATCCTTACGGATCACAAAAACCTTTCGTATTTTGGAGAAACTAGAAGAATGTCAGACAGGCAGATTAGATGGTCTTTATTTTTAACACGATTCAATTACATAGTAACTTACAGACCAGGATCAAAGAACACTAAGGCTGATGCCTTATCCCGTCAATGAACACTTATCACCTACAGTAACTCTTTTTTTTTTTTTTTCTTCCATAATCCCATCCAACCACATAATCGCAACCGTCCACGCCAAAATCTCTTCAGGGTTAATGGAGGAATTATCTAGGTTTCAGGATCAGACCTCATTGACTATTCCCAGGGGAAAATTATACGTACCCTTGGCTTATAGGAAAAAGGTCTTATCCCTTGTACACAACTCCAAATTGGCAGGGCATCCAGGCATTCACAAAACTGGCCTTCATACAAGAAGGACGTTCGCAGGTTCATTCTTGCTTGTAGGGTCTGTGCCTCCACGAAGTCCTCCAAAGGTCATCCTTTGGGCCTCCTTTTGCCATTGTCCATCCCCGATAAACCCTGGTCAAGTATTGCTATGGCTTTTATAGTGGATCTACCTCCCTCCAGGAATCATAGGGTTATATTGACTATAATCGACAGATTCTCTAAGATGACTCATCTCATCCCACTAATCAAATTGCCCTCCTCTTCTGAACTGGCCTCTTTATTTATAAAAGAGGTAGTACGTTTACATGGCATACCTCAAGATATTACTTCTGACAGGGGTCCACAGTTCATTTCACGGTTCTGGAGGGCATTTTGTGACCAATTAGGTATTATCCTTAACCTTTCTTCTTCTTCTTACCATCCCCAATCTAATGGGGTTACGGAAAGGATGAATCAATGCCGCTGTTTCACTTCTGAGCACCAAGACGATTGGGTGGAACTGCTTCCATGGGCTGAATTCGCCCATAATAATCTGATGCATGAATCCACTCAACATAGTCCCTTTTTTATTAATTATGGGTTTAATCCTACAACTTTGCCGAGTTCTTTTTCATCTACAGGAGTGCCTAGTGTTGACAGCACTCTTCACAATATGAAAGAAACTTGGTTAGGGGTTAAACATATCTTAACTCAAAAGACTCAGATTCAAAAGAAGAATGCGGATAGACGACGCAGGGCTGCTCCTACGTTCGTAGCAGGTGACAGGGTTTGGTTAAGTACCCGCAACATAGAGTTAAAGGTACCCTCGATTTCATAGGCCCGTTTCAAATACTCAAACGCACCAATCTGGTCTGTTATAGTTTGAAATTGCCAAATACTATGAAGATTCTTAACGCTTTTCATGTTTCCCTTCTCAAACATTTCATTTGTAATCGTTACACTCAGAATATCTCCACTCCTCCTGCCGCACCCGTGGAGGATCATGTTGAATACGAAGTTAAATCTATATTAGATTCCCGGATTTCTCGGGGTAAATTACAATATCTCCTTGATTGGAAAGGGTAAGGTCCCGAAGAACGGTCATGGGTCGATGCATCTGATGTTCACGCCCCTCGTCTGGTTCGTCTGTTTGAGAGGCGGCGCTCTTGTGGGTTTGGTTCCACCCGCCCTGTGGGCGGTTCTCGAGGGGGGGTACTGTAACGAGCGCTTACCTTTCCCCGCCGGTCCCGCGCAGCGCCGGGTCCTCCTCCGATATTTCCGAGGGGCGGCTCAGCTCTTCTGACGCCGGCCGCTCTGAACACGCCCACATTTATGACGCGGCGCATGCGCGCCGACGTCAGAAAGAAAATGCCGCCAAAATTCAAACGTGGCCACGCTCCCGGACTTTTTGGGGGCGTGGCTACAAAATTAAAGCCAAAGAACCCACACTATAAAAGGGCTATCATGACACTTGTCAGATGCCCTAGTGTGGTTCTTGTTTAAAGTCCCCTGGTGCTATCTTATCTGTTTGTCCTTCTTGGTAATTGACCCTTGGCTATCTCTCTGACTATTCTGTGTTCTGGTTTCCCGTTACTTGGCTTGGATAATCGTGTGCCCGTCTTCCGTATTCCCTTGACCTCTGGCTATTCCTTTGACTATTCTCAGACGCTAGTCCGGCCATTCTAAGGTCCGGTAACCGTCTTTCTGTGGGTTTCACGCTGTGTGAAGGGGTCACTGTTGTGACATTGGTCACTGTCGTGACAATACCGATGTTCCACAAGTCCTGAAGTTTATACATCATTATATCTGATATGCCTTCAATCAAATTGTTTTTGTGAGTGCAATAATTTATATTTATAATTCCTATTTTGCAACAGTATTGCGCTATGTCCGTCTTTATTACTTTTGTATTGTAGATTGCCATTTTTTGGCATTTTGTTATAATAAGAATATATATGTGAGATAACATTAAGTGGTCTTGCTATGCAAGAACACTTAAATATGACATCATTCACCAAATAACAGGGTAGTGGGGAAGCAATTTATTTACTTGTTTTGTAATGGAGAGGAGAGAGAGAGAGAGAGAGTCTCCCCCGGAGCATTCAATGCCATGTATTTTTTTACGTCTAGGTCGTATGATCTATAGGGCGTTGTAAGGATACATAATGATCAAACTTAGATAGTATGTAATTTTATGTTCTTTTGTATATTTGAATGATATAAAATTTTAAAAGTTTAAAAAATAAAATAAAAACATTATGTCTAGGTCATACATTGGGTATATTGTTTTACTCAGAAGATGTAACTGAGCATAATTTGGGGGATTTTAGGACCGTGGTACATAGTGCCATTTATTTTTTTTTCCTCACCACAAACATTGACATAAATTGGTGAAAAAATGGGGACAAGTTAAAGGATCACTATAGGCTCAGGAACACAAACATGTATTCCTGACCCTATAGTGTTAAAACCACCATATAGCCCCACTGGGCCCCTCAAGCATCCATAAATATAGTAAAAATCTTACTGTATTCAATCCTGAAGCTGTAGATCTGCATGCTGTTAGACTCAGAAAAAAAGCAGTCTGCTGACATCATCACAAGTGGTAGCCTGATCCAATCACAATGCTTCCCCATAGGATTGGCTGAGACTGACAAAGAGGCAGATCAGGGGCAGAGACAGCATGATTCAAACACAGCCCTGGCCAATCAGCATCTCCTTATAGAGATTAATTGAATCAATGAATCTCTATGAGGAAAGTTCAGTGTCTGCATGCAGGAGATACTGAATGTTTGCATTTTAGGCAGCCATGACCCAGGAAGGATCTCTAACAGCCATCTGAGGAGTGGCTAGTGAAGTTATCACTAGGATGTAATGTAAAGACTGCATTTTCTCTGAAAAGACAGTGTTTACAGCAAAAAACCTGAAGGTAATGATTCTACTCACCAGAACAAATTCAATAAGCTGTAGTTCTGTTGATTATAGTGTCCCTTTTAAGGCACAATAAACACCATATAAGATACCCTGGGATGTCTGCTTTATCAAATGAAAGCCCTTTTGTGGGGTTATTTGAACAGTCACACTGCTATAATACCCTAAAATGAGACATAGGCCCATCAAATCTGTCATTGAAAATTCTAACTATAGAAACTGAAATAGCCTTATCTCTTATATGGCATTGTAACTTTACAGAATAGTGCCAAAGGCATACAATGGGGGTATTGTTATACTCAGCAGATGTAGCTAAATACAATATGGGGTTCTGTGCAGGAATAGCACACACCAGCTTTACGAAATACACATTACAAAAACCTTGTTATATGTGTATATGCCAAAATAGAGAGAAAACACAATTTTACTCCAATATTTAGCAGAGATTGGCGATGAAATGGCTACGTAAGATGTGTCAAACTAACCTTCGGTAAATAGCCTGTGATGGCTACTTCATATAAATATATACTTTTGTGTGGCAGTTTTTTTTTCTGTGATGGCTACTAAGCCTACAAGACAAACAAACCTACTTCTAAAATGTTCACATTGAGATTTTATTTTAGGCCTTGTATTTTGTGACCTGTAACTTTCAAAATAAGCTGAAATCCTATACATATTATGTACTCTGTAAATCAAGACACATAAATAAATTTATTTTGAATTACTTTTTCCAAGCTGGACATATTATGCACGTGCTATTATTGCCAAAACTGTGAGAAAATTATTTATTTTTCTTCATTTTTTTTGGCATTTGTTTTATAATTAATGAGAGTGTATCTATGTATATGTGATATCAAAGCGCCGTTTGCCCTCTAAAAACCGGTGTATATAATATGTGTTGGTGCAATAAATGACAGAGATGCAAATTGAGTTTGAACACCTACAGCAAAAAATCCAAAAATGGCTTGTGTCCTGAAGGCGTTAAATGGAGTCGAACAGCTGTTAATATTATGGTGACAGCTCGTATTTCCATTTTTCTCGATACACCCTGTTGCAAATTATATATTTTTTTTAATTTACCTAAATAATTGATGTAAATAACAGTCAGCATAATAATCATTGTAAGGAAACCAAGTATATTTAAACCTTATTCGGTAGTTTCCTCCTGAACCGCCAGAGCTTTAGTGATTATAGCCCTCCGTTCAGTAGTTGGGGTAGACGAATCCTATAGCAATTCCAATAGTCTCACCAGATAATTCCCTCAGTGAAACACAGGAATCCCCAAACATCAGCCGAAGTCGAGAAGAAGGGTACAAAATGAACTGTCCTTTAATGGGTACACACAGCTTTTATGCAAGTCCCCATGCAAGGGGACAGCCCTCAGGGAGGGACAAACAATAACCAATCACAGGCAGTAAAACTTTAGCACACACCCCCAATTCCCTCCCCTAGCCCAGGAGATAATTCAGTCTGATAAAATAGTAACTTATTATCTCCGGGCTGAAAAATCACCTTTTTCCCCATCATCTAGAACACCCCTTTATACTGGGGGTATCCCCATAAATTATATGTCCCCTGATAGCCCTGATCTGGGTGACCAACATATTCGAATTCACCCAGATCGGTTCAGGGGTTCGCAAAATCTATGGAAGTCTTTTGTGACCGGCTCACCCTGGGCTGCATGCCCAAAACAGTTCCATGAATTTGGTGGGTTTTGCCGGTCACTTTCGAAAAAGCATAAAAACAAATAAAAATACCGAATGGATCCCTCTGGCTCCTAGCAGCGTTCGTGCCCCTCTGTTGATTGCACCAAAGTACCGAATAGCGCTCCTCTAGCTATTCGGTAAATAGAGTTCCAGCGATCGTCTGTTTGGGACCGGTGATCGGGAAGTCGAGTGTCCGTAAAACAGTTCCATGCACTCGACGACCAGGTCCCGCTGCCTTTGTTCGCATGAACAAAGATGGCCGCGGTTTTCTCTGCCACGTGGCGTTCGACTAATGAACGCTGGCCGCACAGACAGAGGTAGCAATTTCACCCAAACCTTTGATGTTTAATGAGCCAGAGGGGTGGTCCTTGTTCGGTAGTTCCATCTACCGAATGCAATAGGCAGAAATGGGGATAAAAAGGGAATGCAAACAGTAAATAACAAAGGGAACAGGGGGTTTCTTCACAATCATGTTATCAACTATTAAGATTGCAATTCAAATTTTATTGAACAAACCTCCTGTTGGGGATAAAATCAGCCCGAGCCCTTTGTGGATGATGAATATTTGCCAACTCATTCAGAGCTATATAACGCATGTATATTTGATCAAAACAAGATATTTACAAATACCAAAATCTTGGTCCTTTTTCTCCATAGCAGCCATTGATGCAGAGGTATTCTTTGCAGCATGAGATGGTGCATTTTCATACATGAAGATGATTTTATTACGAAAAGCATAGTTCTTCCTTCTGTACCATGGAAGAAAGTGGACAGTCAGAAACTCCACATACTTTGCAGAGGTCATCTTTACACCTTCAGGGACCCTAAAGGGGCCGACCAGCTCTCTTCCCATGATTCCGGCCCAAAACATGACTCCGCCACCGCCTTGCTGACGTTGCAGCCTTGTTGAAACTGGGTGGCCATCCACTACTCCATCCAGGGTTGCACGGCACTCATCAGTGAACAGGACTGTTTGAAAATTAGTCTTCATGTATTTTTCTGCCCAATGCAGCCGTTTCTGTTTGTGAGCATTGGTTAGTGGTGGCCGAATAGAAGGTTTATGCACAGTTGCAAGACTCTGGAGGACTCTACACTTTGATGTCCGTGGGACTCCAGAGGCACCAGCAGCTTCAAATATATGTTTGCTGCTATATAATTGTATTTTAGCAGCTGCTCTGTTGATCCGATGCATGGATCTGGCAAAAATCTTCCTCAATGTGCCTTTATCTGCACGAATCCGTCTGTGCTCTGAATCAGCCAAAAATCTCTTAATAGTGCGATGATCACGCTTAAGTTTTCGTGAAATATCTAATGTTTTCATACCTCGTCCAAGGCATTGAACTAGTCCACTCTTTGCGGCAGCAGAGAGATCCTTTTTCTTCCCCATATTGCATGAAAATGGTGCTCTGCTTAATAATGTGGAACACCCTCCTTTAGTAGTTTTTCCTTAAATTGGGCTCACCTGGCAATCTAATTATCACAGGTGTCCGAGATTGTTTTCAGTGATCAAAAGAGCCCTGAGACACAATGCCATCCATGAGTTAAACTGCAAAACAAAATATTTAATCTTTGTGACACTTACATAGAATTTGAATAATAATTTGGAACAGGGTGTAAGCAAAATTTGTGACTTGCTGTTTTTCTTTTGTACTAAGCTAGCCTTGTATTTACCAATGGCATTATGCAGTAACCTTTTTGAACTGTAGGTGGATGTTCTTCGTGCTCTGGGTGCTGAGATTGTTCGGACTCCGACCAACGCGAGATTCGATTCTCCAGAATCCCATGTTGGCGTTGCTTGGAGGTTAAAGAATGAAATTCCAAATTCCCACATCTTGGATCAGGTATGCTTCCATTCCACACAGCCACCCTACCCCCAGATCAGGTATACCCCATTCCACACCGCCGTTTCACCCCATTACACACAGCCATTTTACCCTAACCCTGAGTCAGAGATGTTTCTAGATGTCACAGATTTAAAGCCATTTAATGGATAATTGTGCCGAGTGTATTTTAAAAAAAAAAAAAAATAATAGACTAGATTAGTGCTCAAAATGGCTCGTAATTCTACAGGTGACTTATCTCTCCTCCTTTTCTTTCCATTCACTGATCCTCCTGCTCCTGCTCTCTCTCATCCCTTCCTGTCTGGACATTCTTTCTCCATCATTTCTTAATGTCCTATGTCCTGTCTGGTTTTCTCTCTTGTTGTTTCCTGTGATCTGCACACTTAGTACCGGAATGCTAGTAACCCCCTCGCTCACTATGACAGCACCGCGGAAGAAATCCTATACCAGTGTGAAGGTTAGTAAAGAGAGCAGTATCCGTTCATGTGAGTAGATATAGTGTTTGGTGTGGGGGCTGGAAGTGGACTTTTCTGCACTGACTCATTGTGTCTTCAGGGCAGTTGGACATGCTGGTTGCCGGAGCCGGAACTGGTGGAACCATTACCGGATTGGCACGCAAACTAAAAGAGAAGTGTCCAGGCTGCAAGGTGAGAACCATTCACTCCTATATACCCACGCCAGTAGGTGAGTGTACACTCGTCATTCACTCCTATATACCCACGCCAGTAAGTGAATGTACACTCGTCATTCATTACTATATACCCATGCCAGTAAGTGAGAGCATGTACTCGCCATTCACTCCTATGCCTACCAATATTTCTTTTAAAAGGGTAATTCAAGGTATATAATGTCCTACATGATGCATAATACAGAACCCGAGAGCAGTATGCTGTATATAGTGACTTACTGAATGTGATATGTCTCCAAACTAGGTGGTTGCTGTGGATCCTGAAGGTTCTATACTGGCTGAACCAGAAGAGCTCAACCAGACCGATAAGACCAGTTACGAGGTGGAAGGCATCGGCTATGACTTTATCCCAACTGTTCTGGATCGATCTGTGAGTGCTGCTGCCTATAAAGACAGTAATTAGGTGGAGGGAAGGGAGTGGATCCGGTGTAGGATGAAGAGAGCAGAATTTATTTGGTGTTATCATGTGCATTCAAGAAGATTTTAATTATTTTTGGAGTAAAATCATTGTTATAAGCAATGTTAAAAACTCCACCCTTTACACCTGGCAGTCCGTATAGAGAGAGCCGCCTCCATCTTAGCTCCCTGTCAATCATTGTTATAAGCTCCGCCCTTTACACCTGTTAGTCAGTATAGAGAGCCGCCTCCATCTTAGCTCCCTGTCAATCATTGTTATAAGCTCTGCCCTTTACACCTGGCAGTCAGTATAGAGAGAGCCACCTCCATCTTAGCTCCCTGTCAATCATTGTTATAAGCTCCGCCCTTTACACCTGGCAGTCAGTATAGAGAGAGCCGCCTCCATCTTAGCTCCCTGTCAATCATTGTTATAAGCTCCGCCCTTTACACCAGGCAGTCAGTATAGAGAGAGCCGCCTCCATCTTAGCTCCCTGTCAATCATTGTTATAAGCTCCGCCCTTTACACCTGGCAGTCAGTATAGAGAGAGCCGCCTCCATCTTAGCTCCCTGTCAATCATTGTTATAAGCTCCGCCCTTTACACCTGGCATTCAGTATAGAGAGAGCCGCCTCCATCTTAGCTCCCTGTCAATCATTGTTATAAGCTCCGCCCTTTACACCTGGCAGTCAGTATAGAGAGAGCCACCTCCATCTTAGCTCCCTGTCAATCATTGTTATAAGCTCCGCCCTTTACACCTTGCAGTCAGTATAGAGAGGTGAGGAGATTTATCAAACTGGATTATTTACAAAAAAGATTTTTGCGTGAATTCAAAGTAGATTTCATGTTTATTGCCAAAATATCAAACCTCAAATATTACAAGTTTATCTGTTTTGGTGGTAAATTTTAAATTACTATAAATTCCCCCAAACTCTGTTCGTATTTGGTTAGGGGTGTATGCTGGTTGCACTGGTTTCTATGATGATTGCCCCAGTTTTCAATGTGTGCCCTGGCTGTGCCAAGACTTAACTCGGTTGTGATGCGAATTGCTAAATCTTTAATATAAAATTAAAATCTAACTGTGATTTCACACGATAAAAGGATAAACACAACTTGGAGGGGATGTTCATCTGTATCGCAACACCGCACACACACATTAAGCGATTGTAGTGTAAAAAGTGTGGATTTCTATCTGAATAATTGCAGAAACGCCTCCCTGGTTGTCGGACAAGCTGTTTTTATATATATCCCCCCAATCAGGGCTTAAAATGTCAAATTCTGTACTACGATCCAGGCCAACACAAGACTGGAGGCCATTGGCACGCTAACTAACAGTGAATTTATACTCCTCCTGGGCTACATTCTCACTGGCCAATGGATAGTGGACATTTTGAGCCCCGCCCCAGTGATAAAATGCAGAATTAAATCAGTTTTGTATTTGGGCAGTGGATTGTCCCTTTAAGGAGTAGAATGAGGTGAAGGCAGTGTATGGCTTGTAGAATGCGGTGTATGGCTTGTAGAATGCGGTGTATGGCTTGTAGAATGCGGTGTATGGCTTGTAGAATGCGGTGTATGGCTTGTAGAATGCGGTGTATGGCTTGTAGAATGCGGTGTATGGCTTGTAGAATGCGGTGTATGGCTTGTAGAATGCGGTGTATAGAAGGGACGGACAAGCACCGGCATATGGATCAAAGCAGATGTAGGTGTGGGTAAAGGGAAATGAGCTCTAGAGCTGGGAGCTATCACCTACCTGTAAATGGGGTGGAACATGCTATACGTATACTAATGGCCAAACCCCCTCATTGTTTTCTTACTGCCCCTCCATATTCCATTACTTAGTTGCTGGCTGCTGCTCTCCTAATACTATGTCCAATACCTTTTATTACAGGTTGTTGACATGTGGTATAAGACCAACGATCAGGAATCTTTTTCCATGTCACGTGCCCTGATCAGAGAAGAGGGGCTACTGTGTGGTAAGAAACCCCTTAGAGGAGATACTAATGTTATCTGTACATGTTTTGCTGTGCTCGGCATGATCTGCTATTTCCACTGCAGGGGGCAGCTCGGGCAGTGCCATGTATGCAGCTGTGCAAGCGGCTAAAGAGCTGAAGGAAGGCCAGAGATGTGTTGTGATTCTCCCCGACTCTGTGCGGAACTACATGTGAGTTACAAGCTTGCAGGCAGAGCTAGGTGTGTATACAGGGAGGGACACCGGAGTGTCGGGCCAGTATGGAGTATCATAGGAAGGTGGTAAGTGGATGAGACAGCGCTGATCAACTTAAGGCAGCAACCCTTAAAGGGGAATCCCTCAAGATACCCTTAAAACAAAATAGATAAAAGTAACAGTAAAAAAGGGCTGCGCCACATAAAATCCAAATAAAAGTCCAGATCGTGTGTCCTTACGGATAGTCTTTGTGGAAGGCTGGTAAGATGGTGTATTCTTCAAATACAATAGTGGGTCCTCTTTATATGAAAGAGAGAAAAGACGGACAACCAATAGTGCAGTATGTCAGGCTCAAATTAGGACGTAGTAAAAAATAATGGTGGAAAACTCACATTTGCGAGAGCTTATATCCAGCTCTGAGGTAAAGCGCACACTGCGGTATAATCCCCGCTTATGGGATATATGGTGGGATATCTCTCCGTCAGGGGTGACCAATTCTCGAGGAGAAGAAGAAACAACCAATAGTGCTCACTCATTCCCTTGCGTCTCTCTTCTAATCCATTCCCTGAACACACCTTAACTGGTGGGCAGCAGTTACCTCAGGCAGCTGGTGGTAATGGAGGTCACGCAGAGTTATGACGCTGACGCAGAGATAGTACCTTCAGGCTTTTTGCTGTAAACACGGTCTTTTCAGAGAAAATGCAGTGTTTACATTACAGCTTAGTGATAACTTCACTGGCCACTCCTCAGATAGCTGTTAGAGATCCTTCCTGGATCATGGCTGCCTACAATGCATCCAAACATTAAGTATCTCCTCCCTCTGCATGCAGACACTGAACTTTCCTACTGCTGTAGCCCCCACACTGCTGCCCACCAGTTAAGGTGTGTTCAGGGAATGGATTAGAAGAGAGACGCAAGGGAATGAGTGAGCACTATTGGTTGTTTCTTCTTCTCCTCGAGAATTGGTCACCCCTGACGGAGAGATATCCCACCATATATCCCATAAATGGGGATTATACCGCTGTGTGCGCTTTACCTCAGAGCTGGATATAAGCTCTTGCAAATGTGAGTTTTCCACCATTATTTTTTACTGCGTCCTAATTTGAGCCTGACCTACTGCACTATTGCTTGTCCGTCTTTTCTCTCTTTCATATAAAGAGGACCCACTATTGTATTTGAAGAATCCACCATCTTACCAGCCTTCCACAAAGACTATCCGTAAGGACACACTATCTGGACTTTTATTTGGATTTTATGTGGCGCAGCCCTTTTTTACTGTTACTTTTATCATAGGAAGGTACATGTGAGTTACAAGCTTGCAGGCAGAGCTAGGTGTGCGCACAAGGAGGGACACCGGAGTGTCGGGCCAGTACGGAGTATCATAGGAAGGTACTTGCATCTGGGGATCCACATTTTGACATCACTGATCTAGGAACTTGGCAATACCTGTTCTTTGCTTTTTTGAATGTCCAACATAGTGCTCTGCTTTTAAGGAGAGCTGGTGGAACCATACTGGCGGCCCACGGAACTGCTGAAGATCTGTGAAATAAAATATATATATATATATATATATAATTATTATTATTATTATTATTAGGGATTGAACCCCAGCAGCCCCAAAGTCCATTCAATGGGCACCGCAAACTATAAAGGCAAGAAAATCAATTCTTGTAAAAGAGGATCACATGTAGGTGAGTAGCTTTCAGGCACTGAAGAGTTTGATAGTAGAGTGGGCCTGGGAAAATGGCCTGGATGGAAGGAAGTTGTCTGATCATCGTATCACCAGGAAGACGTCAAACGATTTCCTTCTTTATTGACTTTTGTTTGGGTGATGGAGGATTAACATTGTGAATAGAAGTCAGAAACTTCTGGGAGAGCAGAACAATCTGAATAGATTCGTAGAACTAAATCTAATCCTTTCTTCATGATCTGTAACCTTAGGGCTTTATGTAAAGATGGTTTTCCAATTAAGATTCATTGTCCTCAAAGTGTTTGTATTTTGTCATTGTTTTTCCTCTCTCAAAGTTGGTGGTAAAAGTAACTATTCTTGTCCATAAATCCTGCCATATATCAGTCATGGGATTCAGCAAACCATATCATAGCCTGTTTGTTTACTCAGCATTGATATGTGACATTTTATTTTAGACTTATTATTTAGAGTGTAATTATCCGACTCTCTCTTGATCTTTCTGTCATTTTCGTTTGTTTCACTCAGGTCTAAGTTTCTTAGTGATAAGTGGATGACACAAAAGCATTTCCTTAATGTGGAAGATTTGGAGGGAAGAAAACCTTGGTGAGATATCTGAACTATTTCTCATACTTCTCCACTTCCCTTCTTTCTCTCTCTAAGCAATTCATCCAACCCTCCCTGTACTCTCCCCTCTCTCCAGGCGCTCCTCCATGTATCCTCCTGTACTCTCCCCTCTCTCCAGGCGCTCTTCCATGTATCCTCCTGTACTCTCCCCTCTCTCCAGGCGCTCCTCCATGTATCCTCCTGTACTCTCTCCAGGCACTCCTCTCTCCAGGCGCTCCTCCATGTATCCTCCTGTACTCTCTCTCCAGGTGCTCCTCCATGTATCCTCCTGTACTCTCTTCAGGCGCTCCTCCATGTATCCTCCTGTACTCTCTCCAGGCGCTCCTCCATGTATCCTCCTGTACTCTCCCCTCTCTCCAGGCGCTCTTCCATGTATCCTCCTGTACTCTCCCCTCTCTCCAGGCACTCCTCCATGTATCCTCCTGTACTCTCTCCAGGCGCTCCTCCATGTATCCTCCTGTACTCTCTCCAAGCGCTCCTCCATGTATCCTCCTGTACTCTCTCCAGGCGCTTCTCCATGTATCCTCCTGTACTCTCCCCTCTCTCCAGGCGCTCCTCCATGTATCCTCCTGTACTCTCCCCTCTCTCCAGGCGCTCCTCCATGTATCCTCCTGTACTCTCCCCTCTCTCCAAGCGCTCCTCCATGTATCCTCCTGTACTCTCCCCTCTCTCCAGGCGCTCCTCCATGTATCCTCCTGTACTCTCCCCTCTCTCCAGGCGCTCCTCCATGTATCCTCCTGTACTCTCTCCAGGCGCTCCTCCATGTATCCTCCTCTACTCTCTCTCCAGGCGCTCCTCCATGTATCCTCCTGTACTCTCTCTCCAGGCGCTCCTCCATGTATCCTCCTGTACTCTCTCTCCAGGCACTCCTCCATGTATCCTCCTGTACTCTCTCTCCAGGCACTCCTCCATGTATCCTCCTGTACTCTCTCTCCAGGTGCTCCTCCATGTATCCTCCTGTACTCTCTCCAAGCGCTCCTCCATGTATCCTCCTGTACTCTCTCCAAGCGCTCCTCCATGTACTCTTCTCTCTTTCCATAGAAACATAGAATGTGACGGCAGATAAGAACCATTCGGCCCATCTAGTCTACCCAATTTTCTAAATACTTTCATTAGTCCCTGGCCTGATCTTATAGTTAGGGTAGCCTTATGCCTATCCCACGCATGCTTAAACTCCTTTACTGTGTTAGTAAGTGCTTTGTTTGTTTTTTTAGCTCATCCTTACCATCTTTGTGACCTGTCCATTTTTTTTCTATTTACTCCCTGCAGGTGGTGGAATGTGAAGGTGTCATCCCTCTCTCTATCTGCCCCACTTACAGTCCTTCCATCTGTGAGCTGTGACCAGACTATCCAGCTCTTGCGAGAGAAGGGTTATGATCAGGTGCCTATTGTATCTGAAGCTGGGTGAGTTATACTACCATCTAGGTCCTTGCCTAATCTATTCTATGGCTACATACATAGGCTGAAAAGAAACTTATGTCCATCAACTTCAGCCCAGTTTGAAGCACTTCCAATTTTGCAAATTAGAGGAAAATCCTCCTTGACCTCAGAATAGCAGTCAGGTTTATCCTTGGATCAGGAAGCTATTAACATACAATTTAAAAATGATATCCTTGTATTCAACAAATTTCTGTTTAAACATCTGTACAGACTCTGGTAAAACCACCTCTTCAGATAGAAAAATCCGCACAAGAAGTATAGTAAGTCTCCTAGTTGTCACCAACACTCCGGGTTAACTAAAAAAAAAAAAAACATGATAAACATAAGGCAAAAGAAATGGTGTGGTGTGCTACAATTACATGTGTGAAGCTCACCAATTAGATAATATACATACACTGGTTCAGTCTCCCAAAATATGCTGGTAGTACTCCAGTTAGGAAATGATATTCCAGCTTTTAATCACTTATAAACATAAAACAAAACATAGTGTAAAACTGTTAAATACAATGATAAAAGATACGGTGATTAATGCACTCACAAGTGGTCCACCACTAACAGTGGCCAAAAAGGCACATCAATAGGTGCCTTTAGACCTGCCACAAAGGGACTCCAATATGTTCTGAGTCAGCTCCTGAATGCACCAAGGTTCTGGATCCCAAGGGGGTAATAAAGGAGTGAGTTCTAGCTAAGGATGTCCCAAAGAGAGCGTTATGGAGGCTCCGTAAGCGTCTGACCGGTTTTGTCCTCAGGAGTTTTTCAAGTGTGTGTGTGTGTGTGTGTGTGTGTGTGTGAATTCCCACCTTAAACATGGCCGCCGAGATAGTAGTATATGGAGACCAATTGGGTAGCCATTAGGTTATGTCTTCTGGATATATAATCCAGTGACTAACCATTGTACTCCTTTCCCGGACTAGCCATCATGTGGGGGAAGAACAACATAATAAAATGTGCATAAAAATGTACATTTTAATCAACCTAAATATCGTTCGCCTGTATCTTTACCGGCCCCACTCATGGACACCAAAAAGATGGCTGCTCGCATATGCAGCGGCGTTTAAGTAGTCGTGCATGCGCCGAAATTTTTAAAAATAGCTGAATCGCTCGATCATATTAAATTCAAACTGGGAGAAAGTTACAACGTACGGGCAGCCCGAACGAACATCAGAACAAACGGTGGTTAAATGGTGCATTACTTTAAAGGATTGGTGTTCATGAATGTTAACAATGTGGATGAACAAATCAAATGTTTATCAAAAGGTAAAAATCTGATTCACTCATTATTGCATTATCGATTTAATGTGATATAAATTGAAATTATTGCAGAAAATATTAGTACCCCAGCAATAATAAAATAAATATAAATGTTACAAAGAAAGTATAAAAAAAAAATGTAAAAGTGGGGAAATAAAAAAAAAAAATGATTAACATCCCCATGTAAACATCAAGACACTGCATATATGACATGATATATAATATATATGCCATTAAAAATAAAATGAATAAGAAAAATGAGTATAACATTTTTTGCATCTTTACATAAAAAATGGTTAAGAATCACATGAAAGCCATAATGTCGACAACATTTAAACCAGGATCTCCAAATGTCTTAAGTTTATATATCCATTGGGTTTCACGTTGACACACCTTTTTCACTATATCCCCCTTGAACTATGTCAATCCCAAAACATAAAAATTGCTTAAAATCAAACTTGCTGTTGTTACTGTAAAACAACAACAACATTATTTTGCCTTGGACTAAATCTCCTTTCTTTCAGTCTAAATGGGATTATCAGAGCCATGGCATACAATCTATGAACTTCGTGTGCAGAGACACTTTATCAAAGCAGATTATACCTCATCCTTCTATAGCCGAACAATTCGGAAAAAACTGTAATAGTAAATCAAACCATGCTAGTTAAAATCATAGATCACAAAAACCCCAACCAGCTGTCCATAGAAGAAAGCCGGAATATTTCCTAAATTTCTCTCTCATAAGTTAGAGAAGTGAAAATAAAATGTATGTAAAATTTAAAGTGTCTTCTTGATGGTTTGTCCTGGATATATTTGTATGTTATCAAATCCCCTCTGAAGCAAATAAAAAAAAAATAAAAAAAACTAAATAGGTTTAAATGTGTTAACCTTTCTTCAGAGCTGATATGTTCCATTCCTTTTATTAATTTTGTAGTCCGTGTCTACACTCCTTCTAGTGCCATAATATCCTTTAGAACAGGTGCCCAAACTTGCACAGCATATTCAATATGTGGTCTTACCAGCGATTTATAAAGGGCCCTCCAGCAGGTTAGTCTTTGTGTCGATGTGAGCTAAGCGAGTGGGCACCATGTGCTAATGAAACAGACGTTTTCTATTTGTCTCCTAGTGAGAGAGGCACTTGGAGACCCTGCTGAGATTTGCTGCTGCTGTCAATCTCAGGATGACCAGATCTACCACGTTCACAGGGACACACATTATTTTGTCGTATTTATGAAAACGTTTGCCCTGCGGTATATGTAGTGCATCTTCTGATACCTCATTGCCTAATTGCTGAATTCTGCATACTATGGGGCAACACTTTTCATGTGCTGCCCATCAATAAGTATATATCTTGTGTCCAAGAAAACCTAATGGATCTGGATCTAGTCACCCTGGCCATTCTTTATGTCAGAAAGTCTGTTGTGACATCATGTGGCGTATGTCGGTTTTTAAAGAATCTAATGTGTAAGGAGAGAGTTTTAACATGTATATAAAGGTGTAAGATATTTCGACTGTCCCACCCAGAGCACAAGACAATCTGGATGAAAAACCTTTAGCTGCTGAATTTAAAGCTCAATTGGTAAAGTCAACAATGCTATTTTTAAATGACCCAAATGGTGTTAAAACTACTAACCACTTCAAGATGGCAAACATCTTTGCAGACTTTTCCAAGCAAGTTTATAACCTGTCAGCAGAACCTGCAACTGGCAAGCCAACTACCCAAGAAATATCAGACTACCTAGCTACACTCCCCACAATCTCCACCAACCAAATGTTAAAGTTCCATCTTCCATTCACTGAGAAGGAGATCCTCACCAGGCTCAAATCTCTTCCTAACCGTGAAGCCCCAGGCCCAGATGGATTTTCTAATGGATAATGTAGGCAATTCTGCAAAATTCTCTCACCTCACCTCGCTTCCCTTTTTAAAAAAATGTTTCAAAAACACAGTAGTAGGGCTAGTAGAAATGCAGTTATTACTCTTCCTAAACCAGGTAAAGCTTATACGTCTTTCTCTAATTTCCGTCAAACGTCACTATTAATTGACGATATTAAATAATAAACCCAACTTTAGCCTCCCCTACTTAGACCCCAATTACCTCAACTGGTCTCCCTAGAACAGGGGTTCTCAACGTTAGTCCTCAGGACCCCCTACCAGTCCAGGGTTTAGGGATTACCTGGGTGTGTCTAAGGTGTTTAGAAAAAGAAAAAAAAAAACACCTTCTAAGGTGTTTTTTTCCTTTTATCTAAACACCTGAGACACACCCAGGTAATCCCCAAATCCTGGACTGGTAGGGGGTCCTGAGGACTGGGTTGAGAACCCCTGCCCTAGAACAAGCTGTTTTTGTACCTTAAAGAAAAGTCTCTAACACCAGACTAAATATTCTGGAGATCATTCAACTTAATAGCACCTGTAGTGTAGTCCTAGCCCTCAACACCAAGAAGGCATATGATAGATTTAATAGTTATATGACCAGCACCATCAAAAAATGTGTACCCCGGGGGCGTGGCTAGACACGGAGAAAGATGGCCGCAGGAGTCCTCAGCTCTGCACCACGAGCTAGGCAATATCATTCAATTGTGAGATTCCTGCGGGAAAGAAGATTATATTCCTGAGATGTCGCAACCCAAAACCCGTCGGCACCAAGACAAGCCCGACAAAATGAACTTCTTCGCCCAAAAAAAGGTTGCGGCCCTGGCAAGACAGACCGCCACAGCAGACCCTCAAGATGGCGCCGAACACTCGGGGAAGCAGCCCGAGGTCAGAGACAGACTCACTGCACGATAGTGAACCGCTCACCACAGCCTTTTTAAAACAAGCCCTGGACGAACAATCCCAACGACTGGTATCTATCTGGCAACCCAGTGTCGCAGAACTGAAACGCGACCTACAAGATGTCGGATCTCGCACAACGCATGTGGAGGCCAAGATGGAAGACCTGGTCGATGCACACAATGCGTCCGCAGAGCAACTAAAATCCCTCCTCAATCAACTTCAAAAATGTGAGGCAAAGCTCATGGACCTTGAAGATTGATCCAGAAGGAGCAACATCAAGCTGAGGGGCATACCAGAGACGGTTCTCCCGGCGGACCTCCCCAGCCATGTACACAGCTTTTTCAAACTCCTGACACCCGAGATCCCCACGGACATGCTGCTGCTAGACCGACTGCACAGGATCCCGAAACCCCAACATATAGCTGCATCCTTACCCAGAGATGTGTTATTGAAAGCACACTACTTCCATGTAAAAGATCTCCTGATGAGAAGAAGCAGAACCGCGAAAGACCTTCCAGCTGAATACACCGGCATCAAGATGTACTCAGATCTCTTCAGCAGCCACCCTGAGACAAAGGAAAACCTTCCAGCAAGTGACAGAGACCTTCCGCGCCAACCGCATCTTATACCGCTGGGGCTTCCCTGTCCGCCTGATTGTTTCCAGAAATGGAACCACCAACGTCATACACACGGTGGAAGACGGTCTGAACCTCCTGCACCAGTGGAACCTGACCATTGTGGGCAAAACACAGGCTCTGAAACCACCGAGAAAAGTGGTCAAGGACTGGCACGTTGCCGACTGATGATCCACTGCAAGTATTCCCGCTCCGGCGGTAAAATACCCCTACTGCTCTAACACTTAATTATTGATTACCGGCCACTACTATCTTTAAGGCCAAATTGCATTAGCCTGATAGACGCCTGCGGACTTAACATTACCACAGTTTGCAGTACGCAAATAATTATTAACCATCACATTGCATTTATATTTGTCCATAACGTTTGCAAGGTGTACTAGCAGTATTGTGACATAATTTGCCTAATGGTTTAACTGTTGTTGACCCATACTGTTTACTAGAGGCATACGCAACACCTCGCCACACTTTATTGGACTGACGCCACAAATTGACTAATGTGTGCCCACGACAACTGACGCATAAGGGGCAACATACACTACCCACACTGATCGACTTACATGGGTGACCGCGGTCCACCCAAGCCGTCCATCAGGCATATTCACAAGACCACATCTCGAGTTCCACCTAAACTGGTACACCCGGCTAGTCCGCAAGTAAGATAGTTGTAGAGGTACTGCTAATCCAGGCTTTGGCCACTTACACTTACTGTATTTATGTTGTCTTATAGCGGGAATTACACACCACCTAAACCCTTGCTCCCACTACTCCAGAACCCAAATGGAAGCTGGGGTTGAGGCCCCATGGCACAAGCCAGAGTTATCGAGCGTAATATGGCAGAAACCTCCCTTACAGAACCAGTTTGTGGTCACACACACAGAGTTGGGAGACCCCGATGCAAAACCTAAACAGGTTACCAACTCTCACCCCTTTTCTCAACTGAAGTCCCATACGAACATCTCACTACATTTAAACAATGGTGCTCTTAATTTGTACTGCAAATCACGCTCAGAGACCACACAAGACCTTACTATGTTTATTGTTATTTGACAGTGCATGTTGCACCACATACCTTTCGCCTGCTCAGGCCACCGCCTGTCCACCATCTCCGATCCCACGCTCTCCACAGCGCCTTGCACCGAGATCGGGCTTATATGTACATTCTTTTGTTATCCAAGTTTATTTCTTTTCATCCCTGTTTCCTTCCCCCAGTTACAATCCCATCCCCCTCCTTCCATCCAAAAACCCAGACAAAGAAAATCTCAAAAAAGGCACCCACACGCCCTCTCTTCATAATCAATGGTATAAACCGTACATTACATCTCATGATCCCACTTTTAATCAAAAGCAGTCCGCCCTATAACATACACTGATAGTCTACTCACATAATGTCCGGGGGCTCAACATGCCACATAAGAGACACATGTTGTTACAAACTGCCATTTGTAACTGTTATTTTATTTGACAAATTGCCCTGCTTCCCTGTGTTATGGAGAAGCCTAATTGCCAGCCTTCTGCCCCATGACTATGGACCTAGTGTGTATGGCGTTTTGACTGTATTTGTGGGATCTGAGCGCTGTTTGGATATATTGAGCGCTCAGATCCAAGCCATCTGGGGATAGGTTGAATGTGGGGGTTCTGTTCAGTTCAATAGGAGTTATGTATTTTTGTGTCTTTTTGTGTCTTTTGCTAACATGTGGTTAATGGAGTCTGCCTCTATCCCTGGATAATTGGATTACTTTCCCCATTGTCCAGGATAGAGGCCTCTGTAAAACCGGTTTGGGCCAGAAAACCATGCTGCCAGCCAGGCCCCAAAAGACACTTTTGCTAACTTTTGAACCCCTTGTCTGATTTGTGCCATTTTTTAATATGTTGCTCCCCTTAATGGATTGATTCCAAATATGTAATTTTTATGAAGATTGGATGTGTAGTTTGGAAGTTATAGTACATGTATAAAAACTGTATTTTTACTGTTCTGTTTTAATTATGTTATGTGATTATCTGAGGGATGGGAATTTCCCCGAATGTATATTGTTCCGATTGGTTATACTGCTAATTATGTGGGTGTCTCCCTTGCATGGGCAGAATCTCATAAAAGCAGAGTGTGTGCCATTAAACATCAGATCTTCTTGACCCTCAATACGTAGCCTTGTCTCGTTATTGGAGGGAACTGCTATATCACACTGGGGATTGCTATGCTCTGCATACTCCCCTGAGCTTTTAATCACTTAGCTCTTTTAAGAGCTGTTCCTGTTACGCTCTCCTGGAGGAGAGGTCTTCCCCACACGGTCCTGGAGGACAGAAGCTGATCCAGGGTGGAAGGAAGACGGCGAGACTCCAGTTAAGCTACGGCGGTTGTGGAGTCTGCGGTGGTTGTGGTGTCGGCTGCAGTGTTTGGAGTCCTCAGGAAGCGCTAGGAGCATCCATCAACGGAGGGTACTCGGTCGGAGTACAGGGAGCTCCGTTACACGTTACTTCAAAACTAGTATCACTTTTCACTTTCACCACGGCACAAAAAAAACATACCGCAGGACATGCTCACGGCCAACGTGGCCACTCTACCCAAACCCGGTAAACCACCAACCCATTGTGCAAATTTTAGACCGATTTTTTTCCCTACTAATTTTGGACGTGACGATCCTGGCTAAAGTCTATGCCAACAGACTGACTACAATCCTGCCGACTGTTGTGCACTCTGACCAAGTCGGCTTTGTGGGTGGCAGGCAGGGAGCGGACGGTACACGAAAAGCCCTTGCATTACTACACACCATGCATAGACGCTTCCCCAACAGCCTCTTACTATCCTTAGACGCTGAAAAAGCCTTCGACCGCCTGCACTGGTCATTCCTGCAGGCGGTCCTGGTTAAATTTGGTTTCCCTTCACTTTTTATCTCCATGATCAAATCACTATACAGCAACCCTGAGGCCCGGGTCTTCACGTCCGGATTCCAATCAAGATCCTTCCCTATTACTAATGGCACTCAACAGGGGTGCCCCCTCTCACCCCTCTTGTACATTATAGCTTTAGAACCCTTAGCTGAGGCCATTCGCTCATCAACAGAGATCACGGGAATCAAAGTCGGGGGGGGGGGGTAGAACATAAATTAAATCTTTTCGCTGATGATGTCCTTCTAACCATAACTGACCCACACAAATCCTTACCAGCATTCCACAACATACTACAGTAATTGCTCGTACTATAAGCTAAATCTACCTAAAACACAGGCCGTGGGGATGGAGGATGACTATCTATCCAACCTGCAAAGCCAGTTCTCTTATGACTGGAGAACGGACTACCTCACATTCCTGGGCATAAAACTCCCACACACTATGTCCGACTTGTACCACTTAAACTATGTTAAACTTAGCAAAGACATTACCAACACCCTCCTGCACTGCAGGAATAAATTTATATCCTGGTCTGGTCGAATAGCAGCAGTAAAGATGGTGATACTACCCAAATTACAATATTTATTTAGGACATTCACCTTGACAGTGCCGCCTGCTTACTTTCTATCTCTCCAGAAACAAATTAATTTATTCATATGGCATGGAAAACGACAGAGAGTCACTTTATCTACACTGCACCGACCAATGCAGATGGGCGGCATGAGCCTCCCTAACGTGCAACTATACTACAAAGCAGCAGTCTTGGCCAGTCCCTTTCCTATTAACCAACATACATCTCCCCCCTCCCCCTCCCCAGTGGGTCTCTATAGAACAACACTGGTTGCAAACCCAAGACATCAAAACAAAAGTATGGATGTTACCCCACCAAAGGGGAAACACCACAAATGCACTTCCCGCCACCTTAATGACACTAAAAATCTGGGATGCCACCCGCAAACTCCTGTGCAGCTGCTACCCGATCCCCTTTTCAACCCCAATTAAGACCCTGGCGCAAACGATACCTGACTTTAACTACAGAGCATGGAACAGATGTGGGGTGTTCTACATACACTCCCTATTAGAAAAAGGCAAACTAGCCACATTTGACCAACTGAAAATTAATTCCATATTGCCAAACACGGCATACCACTCTTATCTCCAGCTGAATTCATGGTGGAAAACCCATGTACCACATCCTATATCACCCACTACTACTAACGCCCTTTGAAAAAAGTATAATGGCAGATACACCAGCGAAAAAGCCCATCTCCACAATATACAGGCTATTACTGCCCCAACAAGGAATTAAATCCCTTACTTGTGTACGCTCCTGGGAAAAAGACCTAGCTCAAACCCTGTCAGAGCAGACCTGGCTGACCGCAGTAAACGCAACCAGAGGCCTGACGTTTTGCGCTTCACACTTAGAGATCACCCGTAAACTTTTCTACTGCTGGTACATGGTCCCAACACGCCTAGCCACCATGGACCCGAAACTGCCCAGCATTTGCTGGCACTGCAAAAAAGAGACAGGCACATTCTTACACAACTGGTGGAAATGTATGAAACTCCAGCCATACTGGAAAGAGGTTATCTTATTAATACACCAACACACTTCAATCATGACACCGAACTCCCCGACTTCTCTGCTCCTACTCATGTTGGAAGCCGACTACCCCAAACCATTTAAATACCTGATACTCCACGTACTGGTAGCGGCCCAAAACTTTATCGCAAAAAATTGGCTATCACCCACCAATGCAACTATGCAAGAACTGATCAGACACCTATCCCAAATTGGGAAATATGAAACAAGTGTATCCCGCATACCACCCAACAAAGGTTGGAGACATGAAGTATGGGAAAGTTGGGAGCTGAAACACCCGACTTGAGAGTAACATACACACATTGCAGCCATTAACACTCATATCACCAATTATAAAAGACGGCACAAACACCAGCCAACCTCTATGGAGCCCACCCACCGAAGGAAAAGCACTCACCATATCGCAAGCCCAGGGAATAACGCTCTTAGTAAGAACCCTTTTACTCCCCTGCGAAGAACTGGCGGGAGACAAACTCCCCCCCCTTTCCCATGCTACATCCCCCAACTACATATCCTAGCCTTCCAAGGCCAGACTAAGGGAAACTCCATCCCACCGTGAGCCACACAGGCACACAAAAACATAGAAGGTTGCAACTTATATCGTAAATTCGGTTTGAAAACAATGTGTTCCTATCATGACTGCGAGCTACTGGATAACAAAAAATTGATGAAGGATGTATGTTCCAGTGTCTTAACTTCCTCCCTTTTCTTTTCTGTACCCCCAAATCGCATTTTTTATGACAAAATAAAAATTGTCAAATTGGAAAAAAAATAAAAAAGTGTACCCCTTCCCTCCTTAACGGCAGTCATGAGGTTGTATACGTCCCAACTGCACATACCTTATCCTCTGGCTTCCTTTCAGATGCCTTCCCTATAACAAATGGGTTGAGACAGATTTGCCCCCTCTCATTTTCATCTTCGCCATTGAACCCATAGTACACAGGATTAAACCAGCCCCAAACATAATGGTATCTCAGTTCCTATAGATACACAAACATTATCACTATTTGCTGATGAAAGTGTTAAAATGATGTCATCAGCTGAGTCCTCGATCTCTGGCCTTTTACACCTACTCACAATATGACAAAGTTTCTTATTACAAGAACCGTATAACAAAGACCTAAATCTTACCTGTCCATGTGCTCCCAGGTCTACTCAACCAGCTTCATTCGACACATTGTTTCAACTTAAAGGGACGCTATAAGCATCAAAACAAATTTAGCTTAATGAAGCAGTTTGGGTGTATATATCATGCCCCTGCATCCTCACTGCTCAATTCCCTGCCATTGTTATGAATTAGATCACTTTGTTTATACAGCCCTAGTCACTCCTCCCCTGGCTGTGACTGATACAGCCTCCATGTGAAAATGTGTTTCACTTTCTATCAGGTGTTAACTTACTTTAAAAGTTTTTATCTCCTGCTATGTAAATTGAACTTAAATCACTCTTCCAAGCCTTTATTTCATGGGGTTAGCTGTCAGACACCAGGCCATTTGGTGGAATGACAATGAAAGACTCCAATAATTCAGAGATTTAAAAATCCCTTGAATCGCAGTCCCAGAACTGTAGTGCCTAGCCCTCCTATAGCTCAAATTAATCCCTAAAGACACATAAAGCATATGTTTCCATAACATCAGCCTGGGCACTCAATCTGGTGAAATAGTGTTAATAAAGATGGTATGAAGTCATTAATAATTGATACAAAAGCAGCATTTAGAAAGGAATATAGTCTGGGTCCCTGGGATATTCCTGGAGAAGGCTGTCATCACTATCTACAGAGATACGTGTTTCTTTCCATCACACTATTTGTTTTAAGTGTTGGATGTGTTTGTTTAACATTAATAATTGGTAGCCTGAGGATTAACAATTTATTATGTTATTTTTATATAGCGCCAACAAATTCCGCAGCGCTTTACAGTGGGTGGAAGAACAGGGATTGAGGGCCCTGCTCAGTGAGTTTACATGTTAGAGGGAGTGGGGTATAGTGACAGTAAGAGAGGGATTGAGGGCCTGCTCAGTGAGTTTACATGTTAGAGGGAGTGGGGTATAGTGACAGGAACAGCGGGATTGAGGGCCCTGCTCAGTGAGTTTACATGTTAGAGGGAGTGGGGTATAGTGACAGTAACAGAGGGATTGAGGGCCTGCTCAGTGAGGTTACATGTTAGAGGGAGTGGGGTAAAGTGACACAAAAGGTAAGGAGAGTATTAGACTAATGACAGTTGCAAGAGAGGAATCAGTCGGGAGCTATTAACAGTTTAATTGATGAAGTGGATTTTAATGATTTTTTTGAAGGAGTGGAGACTGGGTGAACTTTGTGGAACGTTTCGCCGAATGGTTCACGGAATATCGTCGTTCTTGTGGCGAAATTGGTCCCATAGGAATGAATGGCAAAATGTTCAGAACTAGAGTGGGAGCTGGCAAAAGCTGAAAAATCCGGGCATGATTTCTAAACTGCCACCACTACCTCATTTTCAAGCCCACCTACACAAATCTTATATCAAAACGTTCAGCTATCCCTGCTGCCACTAGAAATGTCCACGGCTAAGCCATAGTCCTGATAGTTTTCACAATATGACCATTTGTTTGCAACTCACGCCATCCATTGACCTTCATTGAAACTCCACTCTAGCCAGCTCAAACTTGAAGGGCAATATCTAAACTGCGACTGTGCCTTCGTTTTTAATACTTCAGAGACATACTATGCATCAAAATGTAGGTCTGGGTCTTGTGATTCTCGCAATATAAAGCTCTTCACTGTAGGATTTATAGTTTTTACGACCGTTTGAAGATGGCAACCGCCAAAATACTCTGACCTGTGCCAGGCTGCAGCAGCAAGTGATGTCATAGACAGGGCCTTTTGTACACCTGCTAATGTTTTTATAAATGTATGGTTTAATGTAACTGTGCAACAACGTTGCAATTAAACGTGCTATATAAATGATAACAGTTACTCCGCCCACTCCAGTTGTAGACTACTGGTGGAGGCAAGAACACTTCACACAATTTTCCCAGTTTATTTTTGAGGTCTCAGACTTTTTTCCTCTTTTTTTTGCTTTGTAAACCGTTTTAATCTACCTGAATCTATGTCAAGAGAACAACTTTTTGGGAGCAACTTTGACTTCCTCAAGTTTATAAACCATCCAAGATTCTGTAGTAAACTCAAGGTTGTTTGGATAGTTAATTGTAACTTCTCTCTGGAGTTTGCTTTAAAAAGCAATAGTCTAGATAAGCTACCAGTGAAACTAATTAAATGTGCAGCGATCAGCGTAAGAATATTTATGTAGATTGGAAAAGTGGACAAAATGTAATAGTGAAAATTATTCTTCATGCTTTGCCCATGAACCTGAAATCTTCTTGAACACCTTGACATAGGTACGTGAAGGTATTGTTGCAACACTTTCCTGCTAGACACCAAACAGGTCCCCTCTAGCCACGTTACTGGAAACCTGTGGGGAGAAATATACTTACTACTTCAGCGCCAGCGAATAGCTCCTCCGCATTCACTGTCACCAAGCAATTTATACCAGCAGTCAAACATTCAAGGGCGCCTCCTTAAATTGTTTTGAAATCCATAACGTACCGTCATCTAGGGGACCCAATGCTGTTTGAAGTCACAGAGATGATGTGGACCAATCAGGACACATGTGAACCTATTTAACCCCTTAAGGATACATGATATGTGGGAGATGTCATGATTCCCTTTTATTCTAGAAGTTTGGTCCGTAAGGGGGTTAAAGCCTGCCCTATTGTAGTTTCCGTTTGTTCACCCGTTTAGTGCTTCAGCAACGCTTATGACTTCCTGTTATTGACCTTGGCTTCTTTTGACTATGTAAACGTCTGGTATCCTGACCCGGCTTGTATATTGATCGGTGTATTTCTGGTATCCTGACCCGGGTTCTATATTGATCAGTGTATTTCTGGTATCCTGACCCGGCTTGTTTTTCGTGTTTCCATATTCTTTATTCCTGACTTGTTTCTGTCTGTTAATACGTTGGTCCACCTACTCCAAGGCCCAATTATGTGGCTTTTGGACCGGTATCCTCTTTCCTGTGTGTAAGGGTAACGGCTACCGTGACAGATACGTCATAGGGGCCAGCGAGCCAGTGTGGGAGAATAGAAAGGGATACACCAAAAAGTCTGTACTGGCAGAAATCAGAAGAACAAGAAACCAGGTTGTGATGAGGAAATCAGATTTGCATTTAAAAAAACAAAACCAAAAAAAAACGTGATGTGAAACCAGGGAACACAAAAATTGGAATCAAAGTAAAGGGCATTATGGTCAATGGTAGTGGTGCCATAAAGAATGCACATTTGATGCTTGTGTATAGAGAATACACCAGCATTAAGGGGTACATTATATGAGTACGCCAAAAAATATACAACAGATCTTGCCACCATCTCAACAGTTAGCCAAGTGATCTGTCAACAACACTGTGCGCAGAGGAATCCAGAGCCCAAAGTGATGGCAAATTGTCTCCCAGGTAGAAGTACCTTATGCCTTTGTCTTTGTAACTCTAATTTATCTTAGCTCCTTCTGCCTGCCGGGGAATATGTCTTGGGTGTCTCCCACAGCTCAGCTGCATCTCGATCACCTTGTTGACGTGTCTAGAACACATAACTGGAATATATATTCTAACCCAGGTCTTGTCACTAGTGGGGTACCTCTGGGATCTGTACTAGGACCCATAATCTTTAATATTTCTATTAGTGATATTGCAGAAGGTCTTGATGGTAAAGTATGTATTTTTGCTGATGAATGCTTGGTTGTATAGGGAGATGTATTAGCAGTAGAAAGAGGGAAGAGCTCATGCCATTGTACAGAACACTGGTGAGACCTCACTTGGAGTATTGTACACAGTACTGGAGACCGTATCTTCAGAAGGATATTGATACCTTAGAGAGGGATCAGAGAAGGGCTACTAAACTGGTTCATGGATTGTGGGATAAAACTTACCAGGAAAGGTTAAAGGATCTTAACATGTATAGCTTGGAGGAAAGACGAGACAGGGGGGATATGATAGAAACATTTAAATATATAAAGGGAATCAACACAGTAAAGGAGGAGACTATATTTAAAAGAAGAAAAACCACCACAACAAGAGGACATAGTGTTAAATTAGAGGGACAAAGGTTTAAAAATAATATCAGGAAGTATTACTTTACTGAGAGGGTAGTGGTTGCAAGGAATAGCCTTCCAGCTGAAGTGGTAGAGGTTAACACCGTAAAGGAGTTTAAGCATGCATGGGATAGGCATAAGGCTATCCTAACTATAAGCTAATGCTAAGGACTAATTAAAGTATTTCGAAAATTGGGCAGACTAGATGGACCGAATGGTTCTTATCTGCCGTCACATTCTGTGTTTCTATAACCAAATCCTTGAAGGGACATGCACAACTTTGAGGCAACTGTCTCATTTAAAAGTGTTGGCTTTGTATGAGGCAATTGCCTTAGTCTGCATCCTGGTAAAATAGGTTCCTTATGCTTTCCACGCCCACTTTGTGGGGGTATTGATCTAACCAATCAGTGGCCTATCCCTAAGAATGCTGGAAAAGTGCATTGAGTGTGCCTGACAGATTTACACCTGTGTGGTCGTAAGTTATCTTTTACCTTGGAACATCTTAACAGGGGGAGAAGAAAGGGAGTCTGATCAGTGTGATCATACAAGCAGACTGCAGTATCTGGTTTCTCTCTCCTGCTGCTGCACAATGATGCCCTGTTTATGTTGTTAGTAGACTGGTCTGAAACTGAGCTGGGTAGGTAAGGGAGACTGGTTAAGAAACTCCTCTAACTGAGAGGCCAAGTTTAGAAGTTTGTATTACATACTTAAAAGATAGGTGGGCTGAGTCTGTCAAAAGAGTAATGATCGGGGAAGAACTGACCAAAAAAAGGATTGATAATCCTTGAATATTCTGTACCTGAGCCCATCTAAAGCTAATGCTTCTGGTTTTTAGGGTGTTCATATAGACTAAACCGGTAGACTCAAGATGGTTGGGTTTCGGTGATCCACACTGAACTCCCCTTGTGATTTCATAGACTGATTACTGTAAACCCCCTTATAGCACTTTATAATAACCATATATTCCTTTCCCTCTTTATGGGGGGGCTCTTTTAATTCTTTACTCAATACTTCACCCTAGATCCTAAAAAAAAGGTAGGGTTCCCTTACTCTCCCCAGTCGTCATCCTTCCCAGGATCCTCAGTTCTATTTTTAGGGACCCTGTATTTTGTATTTGTGTTACTCATCCTCAGGATTGTCGGGTTGTGTTAAACGCTGTCCTCTGATACAGCCATGTGCTGTAAGTGGTCACACTGAGTAACCTATTGTCCCCTGTCACAGGCTGGTCCTTGGAATGGTCACCTTGGGAAACATGCTGTCCTCCCTTTTGGCTGGAAAGGTAAAGCCATCAGATCCTGTCACCAAAGTCATCTACAAGCAGTTTACACAGGTAATATCAATGTGGATGCCACACTCTCTAGGACTTGAGTCCAAGCCAAGTCTCCCTTTCTAGATATAGAAACAAAATATTGATGCAGACACTCAAATATAAAAGCCAAAATAGCAGCTTTATTTAGAGAAAACCAGCAGCAACGTTTTAACCCATCAGGGTCCTTGTCAAGCTTTGTCATGGTCTGTGTTGTGCTCCTCAGACACTGGGATTTATCCCTAATATTTAGGTAAATTAATGGCAGAACTAGCTATTATACTGCATCACATAGTCTCCAGCCTGCCCAAAGCTATAATGCTGGCGTTGACATGCTCATAGACTGGCCTAATATATGCTAACTGTGAATTAACCCCTTAACTTCTATTCTCTATCACTGTGGGTAGAAAAACTGGATTTAATCCCAGTTTAAAAAATAAATAAATAAAATTCCAGTGGTTTGGCATCTTTCACCGGTTTTTCACGTAAAGATATTGTCTTGTCTTCACCCTATAGAGATCTTCCCGGGGTCGTTGAGAACGAATGGGGAAAATAAAGCCCTTTTCTCTAAAATACAGATTAAAGAGTATAGTGTCACTATTTTGAATTCAGTTTAATAATGAAATATTTATTTACATGTAGAGAGAGCAGTTCAGTAGATTTCACTCCTACAGCTGCCTTCTGACAAGACAGTCATGGTAATTAATGCAAATTAACGTATTTGTTTCATCTCAATCAATCTAAAATGAATACATATTCTGCTCCGTAGGCCAATATACCTGGCTAATAGCCGAGCAATCTCTCTAGGATGGCCTCATCTCAAGCTAACTGAGCAAACTCCTGGGTATAGTCCCTATTAGTCAGTGTGACCTCATTTCTGGCTAACAGAGAAAGCATGTGGGGTCAGTACTTGAATGGAAAGAATCCAAACCTTTTTTTTTATATTTCTCCTTTCTTCTTGTTGGGTGGCTCTCAATGCTCTTAATTTGCATATATCATTCTCCTAGGTGTTAGTCAAATACAATACACATCGAACTTGCTTTTCTGTAGGTTTATTATGTTAATACTAATATATAAATATATAAAATAACAAAAGGATTTTTCAAAATGGTGGATCAATAGCAGATGTTGCTTGCTGGACTCGGGAAGAGATAGATCTACCCCCGATATTCCATAAAGGATGGACGTGCTGAACTCTTTCTTTGTGTAGTAAAACCAAATGTAAACATGGATGTATTGGTATCAATCCATGTTCTAGAATTCTCAGCCAAAGAAAGACATGAGACTTATTGATGCTGTCTGTTACAGCCATGTCGAATGTGAACTTGTCAATAGGGTTTGGAAACCATGCACTCCCTATTAGTCAGTGTGACTCTAACTCTAACAGAGGAACTCATGGGGTACTCGTTGTGAGTTGCCATCACTCATACAAACTAGAGGAATTGTGGGGAAAGCGAGTGTGTATGAATTATTTGTGGTAGAGACTGTGCGTATAGACAATCCCAGCATATTCTGTGGAGGGGTCAGGCCCATGAATGCTAACCTTGTACTTCCTATGTTTGACACTTCCAGGTCCATCTTATGGATAACCTGGGGAAACTCTCACGAATCCTGGAGACTGATCACTTTGCTCTTGTGGTTCATGAACAGATACAGTGTGAGTTTAATTTTCCATAATCCATTCTCTTCCTGTATTATCTCTTCCAGCCATTAATACCTTCTCTGACTTTGGGGCTTAACCACCTTCTTTATATCCTTTTATCATCCTCTGGCAGTGATATTATCCCCCACCCTCTTGCAGTGCTATTATCTCCCACCCTCTGGCAGTGCTATTATCTCCCACCCTCTGGCAGTGCTATTATCTCCCACCCTCTGGCAGTGCTTTTATCTCCCACCCTCTTACTTTGCCCAGATTGTGGTACCTTTGTAACAAGTCAGCGTTTTTCTCAGCAGATCACAGTGATGGTTCCTCTAGTAAGAAGCAGATGGTTTTTGGAGTGGTAACTGCTATAGATCTCCTTAATTTTGTAACTCGAGAGCGTGAGCGACGTGTCAGTGAATCTGGAGACCGTGATCCGAGTGAAAGAGTAAGGCATTTCAGTGCGTCTTGATCTGATCCCAGAGAACGCCTCAGAGGATCCATGTTTACCACTTGTCACATCGCTGTCCTTCTTACTCTGTGAACCCTGGTGGTCTCCTTCATATCCCTCTACCTTGGTTTTTGAAGGGAGTAGGGTTGTTTTAGTCAGTCATTACTGCTTGTTACATGAATGCAGCGCTTCTGATTTTGCAGCAGTTACAGGTTTAATTAAATAAGAATTGAAGTGACATTCCTTTTTTTCCTTTCTCATTTGTGTGGTCTATTTTAGGTCCTCAAAATACATGTGAAGAATCCCTGTAATATATGAATAATGTGAATGTCCAGATTACACCTGACAATGTGCAGATAGAGACCATGAACCATCCAATCAGAGCAGCAATAATTAGGTCTGCATTGCAATGTTGTGAAATCCAGGGGTGTATTTCCCACGAGGCTAACAAGGCATTTGCCTTGGGTGGCACTTTTAGGGAGAGGCGGAAAAGAAAGCCGCCCCCAAAGCTCCCTATCAGATGCCCTGTTAGCCTCTTTCATGGGGTGCCCAAGAGCTGGCCACCTCAGGGCCCCACAAGGCTTTAAAGTGTGCCCAGTGTGGTGGACGGGGGCTGAGGGTGGTCGCGGCGTGAGGGAGCCCTCTGAGTTCTTCCTCCTCTGCTCCCTCACGCCCCGCAGTGATGCTGGGAGCTGGGGCGTATTCTGAAAGCCTCAGAAAACAAAAGAAAATAAACGCTGATTAACAAACAATATGAGGATAGGCAGCAACCTAAACGAAGGAGACCCCTCAAATCCTTCAACAAATTGGAAAATACAAAGAAATGGGGTAGGGCTGCGCCAGTAACAAATAATAAATAAATAAGAGTCTCATTAGAGTGACAGTGCTTGATGGAATATAGACAAGCAGACTTTTTAGTAGAAGTGGGTGCGTCCTAGTGTCTCAGGGTATTAGCATATATGAAAAACAAGGAGACTGGGCAGCCAGTAGTGCAATACGTATAAAATCCAGAGGGTAAAATAATAGAAGAAGGTAAAGAACTCACATTTAAAAGAGCTATGGCCAGCTCTGGTGTGAAGGGCGTACAGCGATACAATCCTTGCTTATGGGATATGTAAAGGGAGTGCTTCTGTCAACACAGTCTGGTCATCCAAGGATCCAAATATGGATAAAAAGAGGCGACAATAGTGCTCTCAATTGGATAAGAATAAGTAAGAGTAACTAAAATAATACTCACAGGTATGGAGCAGAAACACTGCTCTATTAGTAAAGCGTTGGTGGTACGATCCCCACCTCAAATTTCTTTAAGTGCAAGAAAAATAATAAAAAGCCAGGAAAGTAAAAATAATAAAAATGCAATAAAAAAAGAATTGGCACAGTAAGTAACCAAAAACATTTAATTGATCTTAAAATACACAATATAAAATAACCATTACACGTTTCACCAATAAGGCTTTCTCAAATGGCATGAACATACAACCTGGCTAGTAGAAGTTTATATAGGGGAAGGACACTTTAAAATGGGCGCCAAAATTATGTCATAGGCTAATCATCCAATCAACATTCATCAATATAATAAACATTTCAAATACGACAAACCATAAAATTGATATTATGATTATTGGCATTTATAAAGCGCCAACAAATTATGCAGCGCTGTACAATTGGGAAAAAGACAAACACAATAAGAGCAGACAGATACAACAGGTAGATCGATATCAGGTCCTGAACCTTTAGAATCTTATTGGATGTTGAAAACGAGCATGTAGTAGGTAGCAGCAGCACTTAGAAGCCGGAGCATGTGACGTGTGTCACGTGGGCGGCTAGATATACCGGCCACTAGGTATGCAGGGAAATGTAGTTCCCAATATGACACACATGAGGTCGGCAACTGAAAGCCTGCCTGCATGCCCAGCCAGCCACCAGACCAGCAGCCAGCTCCACTGAACCCCGGGGGAAAAATCCACTCCAGCTCTCCCAAAGTTAGGGAGGCTGGGTGGATTAAAACTAATATTTTTAAAATATCTATAATACTTTGTAAGTGGCTTCTGCAAGTTTACTCGGTTACACACACACAGAGAGATGGATGCAGGTTTTCAGGATGTAAGAGGTCTTTATTAACATACCGATCGGGCCTCAGATGAACTAACTTTCCAAAACAGGTCTGAGGGACGAACACATGGAGTACATCCTTTTTATAGAACTATAACTCCTCCCATTAATAGCTCCACCCGCACATACCCTTAACCAATCAGTGGACAGGATTTGGATTTCCTTATATGGGCAGACCACATGGCTCATCCGAAACAAAGGATAAAGGAGTGTGATTTCAGTTCCTGCATTCCTGCACATGCTCAGTACATTGATGACAGTATTTTAGCTACGTGTAACTAACTGATACAACATACACATATGCCACGTGGAAATCTCGGCCTACTAAATTTACATTTCACCGAAATTCCATCACATGTGAATGTGGCAGTATCAGGGTGTCTGTCGGTGAATGTGTGTGTGTGCATGTCTGTCACTGTGTGTCCGAGTGAGTGTGTGTCTGTCAGTGTAAGTTTGTGAGTGTCTGTATCTGTTAGTGAGTGTGTGTCAGTAAATGGGTGTGTCAGTGTGTCTGTCAAACTGTGTGTTTGTCTTACACAGGTAGGGGAGGGGCAAATTTAGATGTGGGGGGGGTGGAGGGTGCTGAGTCTTGACATGCCTAGGGCAGCACATATCCAAAATACACCACTGGTGAAATCCCTTCACTTTCCAGTAGTGGTTTTACACAGCTGGGACACATTCCAAACTGTACATCATGTGTATTTTGTATCATTTCACAAACCCTACAAAAAGTCATTTGAACATATCTTTGGCCTCATGTAGGGAAAAAAAAGCAGTACACGCTGAAACCAAGCTCTAGCTAGAGTCCGACAGAAACTAAAGTACAGTATAGAACAAGGAAACCCAAAACCCTTGGCTGTTTAGGACAGGAATTCAAGCAATAAATACTGCTCCTAACAGATAGGATCTGCAGAAGTTCCAAGTCCCTAAAAAGAATTAATAAGAGCGATGGCATACTGTCGTGGATATATCCAAGAAAATAATATTACAGCAAGTATGGCTAAATGTTCCTTATTTCTGAACAATCCATGTCAGCATCACCGTAGGGTAATGCCAGTGCTAAACATATTTTTGGAGGTAAATAAAAACGGAAACACAGGTTTCTGCAAAATCAGAAATATGTTAAATGGAAAAATAACCCTGTACGGCAACATTTTTGGAAACTTTCCTCAATAGACGTCAGTAAGACTCATCTCACAGAGTACCTAAGATAGATAGGTGAGTAAAGAACACAAAATCCGTTAAAACTAGCCAAAGGCCTCATAAATTGGCTAGAAAATGACTGTGCAAATGTCAGACCCTAGCTGCCATAATTAATAGCCAGCCTTTACAATTTCATGGTGCCATAGAAACACCAAAACTACACAACACCCAGGAATCGAACACCTGCCTACTCCCGGCCACACCATACATTTTACTTCTACAGACGTGATAGAGAGCAGCAGAAACAAGTCATGATATGCAGTTTAAAGGGACACTGTAGGCACCCAGACCACTTACGCTCATTGTAGTGGTCTGGGTGCAATGTCCCATCACCCTTAACCCTGATCATTGGGCACGTACTCGCTTTTACATAGAAACTGCAATAATTACCTGTTAGGGTTAATTTCTCCTCTAGTGGCTGTTTACCAGACAGCCACTAGAGGGACTTCCGGGTGGATAGATGACTTTTGGTCGCCTAAACTATGCTGGACGTCCTCACGCTATGCAGAACTTCCAACATCATTGGAATCCCCATAGAAAAGCCCATTGCGTGGGCAGAGCTGAGCCAGTGCTGAAGGACACCGGTGCTGGACCCAGGTAAGTGACACAAGGGGTTATAAACCCCTTCTGCACCACGGGGGGAGGGGGCCTTCACAGAGGGGGAAGCTATAGTGCCAGGAAAACAAGTTTGTTTTCCTGGCACTATAGTTTCCCTTTTAGAAATGAATGACTATTTCACTCACTATCAGAAAAATGTCAATTTATGGCAAGGATAGCTACCACCATGCAGTCACTGGGGAGTTCGGGGTGGAGTTGACCTCTTGTAAAGCTAGTAGGGGTGGGGACTGCATTTAACTTTTTCTATGCTACCTGTCTCGTGAAAGAGGAAAGGGGCAAATATCCATTTGGGATGACTGCTGCTTGAATGTATGGAAGAAGCAGATTCTGATGAAAACAATCCTGCATGCAAATTAGTAAGTTTGGTCTCGAACAAATATCCAGGTGAGAACAACTGTAGAATTAATCCTCTAACCAAGCGGTTCCCAAACTGTGCCGGGGCGTCGCAAAATGTTTCCCCGGTGCTATGATCATAGCACCGGGAAATATTACTTCTCAACAGGTGCACGGCCGGGCCCCTGTGGTGTCGGCAGGCTAGGAGGAAGTGACAGTGTCACTTCCAACCAGTTTTGTGCAGGGAGACCGTGCCTGAGATAGAGGACCATTCAGAGCTGCTCCAGATCCCTCATTCCCACCACTAGCAGCAGGAACAGGACTCCAAGCTACCATCCTGGACACCGAAGGTAACGCAATATTCATACATGATACACATTAAATTACGGCGCACACATAAAAATACACTAATACTCTTATCAGGCTACTTAATTTGCCTATCTAAGAAGACAAAATACGGTGATTCAGTTCCACCATATGGCCTTAATGTGTTCAGCACACCACTACTTCATAGTACCCCAATATCTGTGGGTCTTACACTAAATCCAAATTTGGGATACATAGTGCTTAACATAATTTGTTTCATGTCCGTGTGTATTTGTGTGTATATGTCAATGTATGCGTGTGTACAGGTGTCTGTGTATGTGTCAGTGTCTGTATCTATCTATGTGTTAAGGTGTATGTAGCAGAACCCCTTTTTGGCTGTCCCATTCCTTTCATTTATTGTTGGCACTGCAGAGATTTTCCTGTGCCTGGGGTACACAAAATTCCATGTAACTAGATGTGGCCATACTTTGTTCTGTATGAGAATACCAGCTTACATGTGAACGACTAAATTCACCATACGAACAAAGTACCGAATGAACCGGACCACCCTGATGTGAAGAATGGATATAATTTACCTCCCTGATTGCTTTTCATATTCCCTTGTACGCACGAACACGCCGCTATAATCCCTGGGTGATCGCCATTTCGGCAGCCGAACACGTGGCGGCAGCCATTTTAAATCCGCGAACAGCGGTGTTTGGTCACCGAGTGTCTGGAACGCGGCGACCAAACTTGACTAGCTGAACACCGCCAAGACCTACAAGGCTTCAGAATACACAGATAGAAACCCACGAACGGCCCGGCGTTCGGTAGGATGAATCCAACGAACTAGGGGATTCATCCGGTTACCGAATGCACTATGGATGGTATAGCAGTTTGGGGCTTTTGGGGCACGAATGGAGACCGACCGCAGGGCCACATTTCCTGGAACTATTTTCGGCTACTTTACCCATGCAGTCGGTCAAAACTTTACCTTCCCATAACTCCCGAACACCTGGTCTGATCTGGGTGATTTTTGGATATGTTTCTCACCCAGATCAGGGCTACCTGGGGGTACCATATTTAAGGGCATATTCCACCTATTTGGGGTACATCTGAAAAGTGGGGAAAAGTATGCATTGTATAATTGTGTTAAGTGCTAATCTAAGGGGAGGAGATGTGTGGGAGGTAACGTCTATGGGATTGGATACTGTACTAATTGTGGTGAATCCCTCCCTTGCATGGGAGAATCTCATAAAAGCAGGGATGTTGCCATTAAAAGTTCAGTTCTACTCCTGATACTGTGTGTCGTCCAGTGTTTGGGAAAGGTGATGGGATATTATTGGATTGTATTGCTGATTGTGCTAGATATTTTCTTGGATTTACTACTTGCTCCTGCATCCTCTTAAAATATTGGTGGAGTTTAGCTGTGGGAAATCAGCTCTCCGCTACAGTGTATTTATTCGTATGTATGTATGTATGTATGTATCTATGTATGTGGTAGTGTACTGTGTATGTGCATACATCCAAGCAGTCAAACACCAGCACAACATACAAACACACCCCTTCACTCAAACACAAATACTTCACACAAATGTGCATTCTATAACTGCGTCTTTAAAAGTGAACATTACATTCAAACACACCCCTGCACTCAAACATTACATATAAATACACCCCTGTATTAAAACACTAAAATGATATACAAGCATGCCTTCAAACACCAACGCTGTACAATACACTATAGTGCCAGTACATGCGCAGCGCTGTACAGGTATACAACATAGAAATTTGTTTTGACTTGGGGCACCTTGGAATAATATTGACATAGTAAGGGCACCTTGAACCTAAAAAGTTTGGGAACCACTGCTCTAACCCAAAGAAAATATTTACCATCCTAATAATGCACTCTATGAGTAAGATTACCTAGTAAATTGATAGTAGAGCTATTGGCCCAGACCAACGGAAGTTTAAATGGATAGATTTAAGCCATGGGTTATTTATACTAGCAAGTTTGAATACCTGGCTGGGGCCAATACATTGTTTCTCAGAGTATGTCTGCTTGAAGGGCTACTCCAACCACCATCATCACTTCTGCTTTTAGATGTGGTCATGAGGAGTGAATCTGTATGTGGAGATATTCTGTGTGAAACATACCTTTTAACTTTGATGTTCTTTTTCTATTTATTCTTTTTCGAAATAAAAAAATTTGGTATGCGGATGAACAATCTGAAAAAATCAGCAATACAAATAAAATACTAAATAAAATATACAGTTGTTGGAACTTGTGAGATCCAGTGCTACTATCACCTGTGTGGATCACTCAACACACACATAAAGTGAAACAAAGTGAAGTAATAAAAGGTGGTGAGAGCACTCAAACATAAAATATTTTTACCAATTATAAAATGGATACAATCCTAAAAAAATGAGATAAAAGACCATAGGGTAATATAGTAAAAACTAATATTAAAACCACGTATTATTGGTCAAACTCACATGTTACTGAGTCACTTAAAAAGCTGACTCCGACTAGAAGCATAAAGCAAAGAAAGTGGATTCCTGCAGTACCCAGGATGTCTCCTGTTCGTGCCAATGGTAGTACCTTCAAAGACCCAGGATGCAGGATCACAGTAATAAACATGAATTAATTCAAACATAAAGTATAAAATATAATAAAAGCAGGATAAGTTCACCAATTCTTGCCACCTGACTCGTTTTGGCGTTAATGCCTTCCTCAGAATTTGTGATTCTGTCTTTCTCTGCAGTTCTCCTTTTAAATGGGTGTTTTGGCGTCCTTCTCAATAACTTCCGATTTCCATTTCCACTTTCGTCATCATTACCCGTCCGGCGCCTGTATTCTGCGTCCTTGCGCCGTGACGTCATGATGGTGACGTGATACCAGAAGTTCCCAAATCTCCATTTTTAAAAGTCCGTACAGTATATAGTCCTTCAACAGTACTTCACACATCGAAATCATAACAGACATCATAATTCTACTATGCATAAATATTGAAAATGAATGAAAGGGTAAATCAGCAATAAAATTAAAAACAGAGAATGGTATTTCCAACCTTTTCATCAGAAATCTATATATATATGAGACACAAAGGTATTAATAATATAAAAATATTTAAAATCTCCAAAGTGGATCTACATAAAAAAAAAGGAGAGAAAGCATATCATGGATTAATTAAAGCACTCGGAATCATTTATTATATACGGGAATTGATCTCAAAATTGGCGTTCAAGGCATGAGGTATTAATGTGTCCATGCTAAAAAATCCACCTCATTTCACATTTGCCGAGGAGGCTTTCAATATCTCCTCCCCTCCAGTGTGTTTTAACCCCTTCTATTCCTATAAACTCTAATCCAATGGCTTCCAAAAACTTGCGATTGATATTGTAAATGTGCTCTCTGATACAAATCTTTAGAGCCCGTGATGTCTTGCCAATGTATTGGTACCCACAGGGGCATGTCACCAGATATATAATATGTTTTGAGTTACAGGTTAAAAATGATTTAATGTTGTGTTCTTGGTGATTCCTAAATGAGGTGAATTTCGTAACATTTACATTTTTATTTTTCCTTAAAGTGCACCCTCTACATGCCATACAATAATAAAAACCTTTTTCTCTTTTAAAAAATGATGAAATCTTAGTCTGATTAAAAGTATTTTCATTATCTAAAAAACTTTGTTACAATTTGTTTCAAACTCTTTGCCCCTCTGAAGATTATTTTAAACAATCAAGACAAGGGCGTTTGCCTAGGTGGCAGTCTCGTCCTATGGACGATGATGTCTTGATTGTGTGGGAGGGGTCACCCGATAGTTTTTCCGCCTTCATTGGATATAGTAACCATAATGATTACAATCTCCAATTTACTTCCACTATACACACAACACAAATTAATTTTCTTGACTTGACTTTATATGTAGAAAAGGGCCAGCTGCACTCAAAAACCTTTTTTAAGCCCACTGACTGTAACTGCCATTATTAGTACAAGTCTACACCATCCATTATGGTTGGACAACGTCCCCAAGGGTCAAATGACAAGGATCAGAAGAAATTGTTCTGATTTAAAGGTGTTTGATAAACAATCCAAACTGATAAAAACCAGGTATATTAACAAAGGTTATAATCATAAAAAGATGGAAAGAGACGAAATATCAGTAAGAAGTCTAGACAGATTAGAACTTCTTATCAACAAAAAAACAGTTAAACAAAATAAGTTTGAATATGCCTGTGAAGAAATCCTTCTTTTATGTGCAATATTTCTTCCCTATTCATTCGGTAGATATAACTACCGAACAGAGACCAGCCCCTGGCTCGTTAAACTTCAAAGAATGCCTCAATTGAACCCTCTATCTGTGCGGCCGGCGTTCGTACTACCGAACGCCACGTGCCTGAGAAAACAACGGCCATCTTTTTTCATGCGAACAAAGGCAGCGGGACTTGGTCGTCGAGTGTCTGGAACTAAAATCGGACACTTGACTTCCCGAACACCGGTCTCAAACAAGCGAACGCCGGAGCTGTATTTCCCGAACAGCTAGAAGAGCGCTGTTCAGTACTTTTGTGCATTCAAATGCGGGGAACAATCGCTGCTAAGAGCCAGGGGAATCCATTCGTGGAATTATTCGGTTTTTGACTGAATAGACCGGCAAAACCACCCAAACTCCTGGAACTGTGTTGGGCAGCCACCTCGCGGTTAGCCGTTCACAAAAGACTTCCATACTTTTTGAGAACCCCTGAACAGATCTGGGTGAAATTTGAATATGTTGGTCACCCAGATCGGGGCTATCAGGAGACATATTGTTTGTTGGGATACCCCATGCCTAAAGGGGTGTTCTGAATATTGGGGAAAATTGAAAATTTTCTGCCTGGAGATAATCAAGTTATTACTTTATCAGACTTGATTATCTCCAGGACTAGGGGAGTTAATTGTATGTTTGTGCTGGGTGTGTTTTACGGTTTTCCTGTAACTGATAGGTTGTACTGTGTCCCAACCTGTGGAATGTCCCCTGGCATGGGGACTTGCATAAAAGCTAGTTTGTGGTCATTAAAGCCATTTCTGTTGTACCCTTCTTCTTGACTTCAGCTGATGTTTGGGGATTCGTATGCTTTATTAAGGGAATCATCTTGTAAAGCTATTGTATTCGTATGGATTTCGTTTATTTCATCTACCGAACGGAGAGCTATAATCACTGATGTTCTGGCGGTTCGGGAGGAAACTACCGAATGAGGATTGGATATACTAGGTTTCCTTACAATGCCTTTGTGACCCAATACAATGCTCATGCAAAAAAGATAGAAAGAGTGTTGAGGAAACATTGGCATATCCTTCAGAATGACTATATTTTGTGTAAGATTATCCCTGAGCGCCCTATCATGATTTTTAAAAAGGCACTGTAACGGACCGTTTTGCACACAAGGGGTAAAAACCGTTTAGGCGATCGTCCCCCTTTCCAGCTATTGTAAAACACCAAACTCACGAACCGCCAATAAGTGAATGCTCCAAACTCCCGAACGGCATCCAATATAGCACTCCAAACACACGAACTGGAACCATACGAATTGCTGCTAGCAGACGAATAGGAAAAGCATCCAAGCAGCTTACACTCCTAG